TGTTCATTAGAGAGGAGTTTTTCACCTCATGGTCCCTGGATCACCAACAGTCAGTAAAACTGATCTAAAATTCCCTCCCTAGTAGTATTCAGTGTCCTGAGCAAGTGAACAAACCTGTAAAATGAGAAAGTACAAATAATATATTTACATGAAGTTTTAATTATTTGCAAATTGAAATTTTTATTTGGGCAACAAAGCTCTAGTTTTTTGCCTTTTTTGTTTGTTTGTTTGTTTTGTGTTTTGTTTTTTTTTGGGGGGGGGTCTGGAAACTTTGTTATTCTCTTTATTTAAAAAGGGTTGGGAACATGCATCTGAAAAGGAGAAAGAAAAAAAAAAAGCTTACAGAAGTAAAATACTGGGGGGGGGGGAAGGCAGAAACAGTGCCACAATTTCACTTAATCACTTTAAGTATGTGCTAATATCAGAGCAAAATGGGGTAGAAACTGAATGAAAGAATATAAATTGGATATGTTTTGGGTGGCATCATTATTTTTTTAGATTCACTTCCTCTTTATGTAACAATTAAATTTTTAAAATAAATTGATTTGCAACTTATTATGGCATTATTTTTTGTGATACGTGTGCGAGGAATTGCATGTACCCAGGAAGATGAAAGTTCTTCTCACTCTCAAATAACATTAACCTGATTTGGAAAATGAGTATAGTCAAATATAATATATTTTAAAGTGATCTGCACTATTGGTGCACAATTCCTTAGAGGATCTTGAGAAGCAGTATGTGTATATACACACATGTTTATACACATTCAGTTGCTTGACAGCAGTTGTTGAAACGACAAAGTTTGAAGTTTCAAGATTGTGCTGGCATCACTGATTCACAAATAAGTATGTCTTGGCAACCTCCATGCCAAAAGCTGTGTTGATGACCCAAGGAAAACGTTAATTTTATCACCATTCAACTAAAAAGTTCTGGAAGCTACAGATGGAAATTTACTGCTGGTCTACTGTGCTGCTTGTCAAGGATGGAAATTAAAGAAAATATCCTAAAGCCCAGTATGTAGAAAGTGATGCTCCTGAAGAAATTAACAATACTTTTGGTCATGAACATCTTTGGTAAGAAGTGAGGACTGGAGTTCAGTACTCTGTTCCTTGGATCTTGCAGGCTTTATGCTTTTTTTTGGTTCTGCAGGGAGACACAACTTCATCAATAAGTGGGACAAGCACCGTCACCTCCTCTGCCCAGCCTAATCACCAGCCTCATCTGAGTACCAGGACAGACATGAGGATTTTCACACCAGGGCTGAAGGCACATTATCCTTTGTAATGCCCTAACCACAGCTAGGACCAGGATTTTCAGGGAACTTAGACAACGGACACATCTGTGGATTAAAGTGTGAGAAGAGCATTAAGATGAACAAAGACCTGGCAAGATGGAAGCAGTCTTACATCTGTGCAGAAGCAAAAATTTAAGCATACAAGAACACAAGTTTTTACTTCTAAAATTCCAGAGATCAAGCAAAGGTTTTGTGAATTGTTTCCTTGTGCTTGTATGCCTCAATTCTACCCAAGTCCCAGTTTAGGCCAGTAAAGGTTTGCAATTTGCACTCTTGCAGTCAGATGACCAGATTTCACCAAGTCTTTCTGTAAACTTACGTCTGCTGTGGCAAGGGCAAAGGAAAGAATGATATTTCAGATTAAACTCACATGGATTAAGAGCAAAAACCAGGCAGATGAGCAATCGGTTCATTAAGTAAAATGGGAATCACCTGCAACAATGATAAATGAACTCACTCAGTCCTGTCTGGCTTCTGAAGTGATTATCATGTGAGGAGAAAACTTCCTGGGAATTCCCAAGCTAAGAATTGATAGATACATACCTTCTGAGCATTAAAACACACGCTAAAATTATTTTACTTGTTGCTGGAGTTACAGATGGAGACAAATTGCATCAGAATAAGTCAAATTCTATGCAGTTTTGTTACACAGATAACTTCTGGTTCTGACAAATAAAGTAGTCTCAAGAGGCTGAATATTTTTAAGGTTAAATTCATGTAAGGCTATGCTACTAAAGAAGTAGTGTTCTTCCTAGTCCAGCTGAGGATGAAAATACCAAGCGCAGGTGCTGTTCTGCATGGCAGTCTGTGTTAGCATCCTCCGAGGACATTCCTTAGCCTGCACAATTTACAGTCGGTGACAAGAAATTGAACAGTATTTACATGATTTGCTTGACTACATCTTTCCTTTCACTGTCCTATCTTCATCCTCCCAAACACCATTTGGTAGGTAAAACATAAGCTTTGGCAGTGACCCGACAAGGAAAAAATTAGTTGCCATTAGTATCCATTAGTTCATGGATATTTATGCTATTGCATGTGTGATGTTACAGTACTGGGCATACAACTATTATGCTTTTACCACTACTGTTCATTAGCTTCACTCGTTTTATGGCATCTTCCAGAGACACTACTGGCCAAAGTTAATATGTCAAATTTGTTAATTTGTCATTAGTCTGCCCTGAAAAGAGGGAGAAAGCAGAACTAGAACTTGGATCTTTTCTTTTTAAATCAAGGAAGACAATCTCTCTCATAACCAAATACCAGAAAAAAAAAAAAAGAAAAAAAAAAGCTGCTGCTTCCAAAATAATCAGATATGAATAATGAGATCAGGAAGAAAAGAATCAACACCACCATCTGACAAAAATAAACACTGTACTTCCTACAAAGATATGGGATGTTAATTTTTAAGAACAGAACTAGATTAGCCATCCTCAGTGAGTTTGTTTAAATTGATACTTTAGCTATTTATACCTCATTTTACTCAGCAACAAGAAAAGGCAATCATATGAAAACAGCAGCTAGTCAGTTCAAAATCATTAGGAGGAACATTTTTGCTACCTACCATACTTAGCAACTTTGGTTTGGGGCAATGACTCAGATCACCTAAACTCATTCAGAAAATTACGGACAATCCCACCTCTTTCTTTCCCAAAACCTGCAAGAACCCTCTTCTCCCTCTCACCCACCCCACCAATATACCAATGAAAGGAGCAATTAATCTTAAATAAGCAATGAGTGGCTACTCCTTCAAGAAAAAATCAGTTAGGGATACTGCATCGGAGTAAAACAGTTTCTTGTATTAGAGCATTAGTTAAATGACACAAATGTAGTACACAGCTTATGTCCATTACCAGGCTGGATTCTCCCTGCAGCTTTTTTTTGCTTTATCCATTCAAGACACAATATGCATGTCCACTCCAATCGTCAAAAAGTCTCTAAATCACCTCTATTTAGCATTCGCTGTCTGAGTCAACTTAAACTTTTTCATCTCCCCTTAATAAAAGGAAAGGGAATTGTGATAAAATGGGAGGAACCTGATATACTAAAACCAAAACAAAACAACAAAATAAAATAATCTTTCTTTCATCCTTTCAAGGAAATATCCAAGTAATATGGCCATCCACCACTGGGTGGGCAGGCATATTTATGTTCTGGTGTATAATATGTAGCTGTATGCTTTAATTATTTAACTGCTCTTATCCACTTTCCTCTGGCTAAATATCAGAGGGAATGGGAGTATCTAAATTTTATATCTGTAGCATTTCAGTGAGTTGTTTGTTGTACCTAAAATAACAAGTATGAATGGATACTAGGAAGTTTTTCAGTTTTACACTGAATCCACTAGACTGCTGTCTCATCTCATTTTTGTCCTATTAAGAGAGCTAATTCATCTGCAGCCAACTTACTGGTAGGAATTTGCAGCAGCCGATAGTGTCTCAAATACCATCTTCTCACAGCTGTCAATTAAAAATTGTTCTCTTTAGTCAGACATTCTTTGGATTCAGTATTCCCAGAAACCAGCACTAAGTTGATGCATAAGGAAGGATGTACAATACTTCGAGAAATAGAGCATAGTGGAGAGATGTGAAAATTACTGGAGACCTAACCCAGAAAGTCTACACAAAGCAATAAGCAAAGCAACTGCCATCAGGCATCCAGCCCTGTTTGTTCCCTGCTGTATCAATCCTGCTCCAGGCTGATGACTGGACTGACCTACACAACAAAGAGTAAAAATCCATCTGACTCCACACCATGCAGACCTACCTCCTTCACTTCCACTGCCATGTAAACACCCATAGTACGCCAGCTCCTACAGACTGCATGCCCCCTGCAAATTCAAATAAAACTATGTTCCAATAATTATTTGACATTTTCAAGGATTTTTTTCTTAATATGCAAAAGAACTAACCAAAACATAGAGTCTTCCTTCTTATCTAAGCCCCATATATAAAGCTAATGGAAAGTACAGTCTGTACTCCCATTGAATCACAGAATCATTAGGGTTGGACAAGACCTCCAAGGTCATCTGGTCCAACCATCAACCTATCACCAGTGTCACCCACTAAACCATGTCCATAAGCACCAGGTCCAACCTTTCCTTGAACACCCCAGGGATGGTAACTCCACCACCTCCCTGGGCAACCCGTCCCAGTGCCTGACTGCTCTTTCTGAGCAGAAATGTCTCCTCACTGCCAACCTGAACCTCCCCGGCACAGCTTGATGGCATTCCCTCTAGTCCTGTCACTGGTTACCTGAAAGAAAAGGCCGACCCCCAGCTCCCCACACCTTCCTTTCGGGTAGCTGTAGAGAGAAATAAGATCTCCCCTGAGCCTCCTCTTCCCCAGACTAAACCACCCCAGTTCCATTACTCATCCCCTCCCTCTGAGTTACACCTCTGAAACTGCACTCATCAATAAACCCTACCACTTCACAGAGGAATGGATTCAGTTGTCAGGTAATGATGAAAACTTGCTGTATGGGGTCTGTCACGCTTCCAGTGACTAAACACACTGTCATGGATTTTCTCACAATAGTTGTCTTCAACAATGAAGGAAAAGTCTATATTTAAGACCTTTTTCAATTTTAAGAAGGTCCAAGAGTTTCATATAAGTAACTACTTCAGAAGAAAAACACACTAAGAGAATTTTCAAAGCTTGTAATGTATCATAATTCAATAAAAAATACACTAAATCTTAAACGTAACTGTAATAGAATTCTTTGCTTTTAAATAGTCTTACACCTTTAATTTTGACAATAAATATAAACATTCAGTGCAGTGTTAAGAAACCATGCAGAACAAGTAGATGTACTTGTAGCTGCGCACAATGAATCTATTGAATCTTCCACAGAAAGACGTGTAAAAGTTGATTTTTTCTTTTTTTTTTGGATCTCCTTTGATGCAAGGCTTAGGATTTCAATTTTTGGCACTGGATTCCAGCAAGTCTTTTGCTTCATTTATTTTTGCTGCTAAGTAAGGTGATCCACCTGAGAAGAAAAAAGGTAAAGGGTTACCATTTACACATCAGTATCAACTGCTTCACTTACAGAATCCCCTTATTACTTGCTTCTATTAGCTCCCCTTCCTAAGTAGATCCTTCTCATACAACTGATTAAAAAAATGACACTGATATGAAGAAAACTAATTGATAAGGGAACATGAAGAATGTAATCAAAACTGAAGTCACTGAAGAATAAAGCTAAACAATTTGTCTCGGAAAGAAGTCTGAAATCTAAAATCATTTCACACTGGTGTGATTTAGACTTGCAGTGCAGTTTTGCTGCAAATGTATGCAAGGTCAGCTGTCTCAAACATTCATCTAAAGCTAATAGCTATTATGCCAACCCACCCCAAAAACTAAGAGGCAAAATTTTATAAATAATTTTGACAAAATCATTAAGCATGTGCACATACACACACACACCAAGCCTCTGCTATTCTAGATGCCCAGAATTACCAGGCAGAAACTGTCACATTAAAGCTATTTAAACATGGTACGCCTTCTAACTTCTAGTCCTGAACACTGTCATTGCTTTACGCTCCATCTAACAATTTGATTACAGTTCAGCAGTCTTTTTGTGTTTGTTTTTTTACTCTCCCCCTGAGTGCCAACCATCTGCCTACAGTCACTGAAAACAGCATTACAAGGTCTGTATCAGTAACTTACGATTTACTAGAATACACCTATATTATTTTTTTTAATGTAAAAATATGATTCCAGCAGTAATATTCAGCACATTGAACAGCCTTTTCCAAGGCATCTGTTCAATCATAATTTTTCATTCATCATAAAAGACAGCGACAGAAGAAACAGAGAAGAAGTAGCAGTAAACATGTATAAACAAAACAACAAAAAAAGCCATTCCTGCAGCAATCCAGATCATTATAAAGTCAGTTCATGGCCTAATAAAACAAGTGGAAAAAATAATGGAGTTCAAGTCTCTTGTTCACGTTTTGGTTTTGTTTGAATGTAGTCCTAATAGCTAAAACACATTTGAGCAAAGTGAGGCAGGGAAGGGTAGAGAATTGAAATATAAAAACTAAAACTAAAAATAATAATAATAAAAGAATTGTCTTTCTACCCAGGATTTGCTACATTGGTTGAGTATTGCTTCTTTCAAAGAGTAGACAAGAAGATAAAACAGTAAAGGCTATAAACTGCAATAAACAAGGTATCCAAAATAATTTTTAACTTTGCCTTTTATCTTTGTCTTTGGTTTACTACATATCTACAGTGTAGGATCTTAAATTCCAATCTGCTAGAAGTGTTTTCACTACATTTACATCCTTGAGTGCCATATTAATTTTGTAGCCCTCCAATGAGAGAAAATTCAATCTCATGATTGCCTAAGTGTTTGTTTATAATTAAGGCAAGTCCAAAAGACTTATCTCTTCCTCTGTTTCTGTCAGCAAGTATTCTTTCATAAAATTATTAACTGATAAAAAATAACATACAATATATAAACATAAAAACACTTTTAAACTGAACTAAGTAAAGGTTAATAAGCAACCATTTTAGTACTGCTCACTGGGGATGTTATTATGCAAACTTCTATATATTTCTTACTTATTTCTAATCATGTTCTCTTCAACGTTTTGAGTCTCAGATAACATGCAACTTTTAAAATCTGTATTTACTGCCCTTTCTTCAAACAACTCCAGCTGGTAAAACATTATTTTGGAATAACACTCTAATGCTGCATATTATTTTTAAAAGCACATCTGTGCTACCAGAGCCAGAAGAAATCAAGATACATACATGCACAAACAAATCTCTTTGTGATGCCATACGTTCAAAATCACTCCAGGCCTTAGCTCTGCAGCTGAAGACATTAGACAACGTTTTTCTTTTTGGCCATGCCAGAAGAGCTGCAGGGGCAGCAAGGAGGCACAAATCCCTTCAACTGGTGCTCCTACTGTGAAAATGCTCCATCCTAATAGCGCACAGGAGGCCTCACTACATCCATCGAAACCTGCATTGTGCCCAGCTGCAGTTGCATTACAGCTCTAAGAGCCATCGGTTAAAATGTATGATCTTCGTAACGGGAACTGCCTCCTTAAGGATACTCATCACCTGCATGGAGATTCATCGTTCTGGCTCAAGTCTCTGAATACTACTACAATAAAACTTTGAAACTTATTATTAAAATTTTTTGACCTCCTGGGTACTCTAGCGGTTAAGAGGCCTTTGACCATCATGATGTATTAAAAATGCAAAAGATTAACTAGAAAATAAATTATATTTATGCAGCTTGTACGTTACAAAAAGAAAGTGTAAAAAATGAAAGCATGACATCGAATAAACAGGACAACTTCAGAATTAAATTGAGGGATGAAGACATTAAAGAAAAGCATTGACTAAATGCTTCATGTCGTCAGTGGTCAGTTATTTTTCCCATTTTCTTAAAATGGGGTACAGGCAGGGATCCCTGTAATTCTGTCAAGAAGATATAAAAAAAACCCCTCTGATTTCCCCTTTTGACTTCTGAAATACAGTGCAACTCTTCACCATCTGTTATTTTAAAGTCGAAACAGCAATGAACATATGGGCTTTCTTTCTCAACCAGCTGTAGTGTAGTTAAAGTTATAATAATAGCCTTTCTGTAAGATAAATTTACATTAAAAACCTGGCCAGTAAAGCAACAGTGCCCAGCTTTACGTATTTTCCAAGTGAATTCAAGGAAGTCTGAAATTCAAAAATGATATACTTAGTGCCTGCAGAACATTTCCCCACAGCAAGTTACTTTTGTACACGTGACTGGTCCATTCCATTTCAAAACAGGAACAGGTGTTTAATATAAAAATGTTGTAGCTCATTTTTTCTTATTTTGCAGAAGGGTTCTTGTTTTTTTTTTTTTTCTTCTTGTAAACCAGTGTGGAGCACTGGTACACAAGCTCATAATTTTATCTGAAACAGCACAAGGCTAGAAAACCTTAAAGAAAGCTGAGCAACTTACTAAAGATGTAGTTCATAAAGTCTGGAAATCAGTCTAGTTTATCTGAGATAAAATGCACAGAAGCTTAAGTCTATAAATAAACTTCATACAGTGTGGTTGTTTATACAATCAGTAAACTGAAGAGATCTCATTTAAGCCTCTTCTTTTCCAGCTTTGATTAAAAAAGGAAAAAGAAAAAGAAAGAAGAATTACTTACCTTTATCAGGATGATTCAAAATCATGATTCTCCTATGGGCTGTTCTGATTTTGGCCTTGCCAGCAGATGGACTGCAAAAATAAATTGAAGTGCTTACTATAAATGCCACTGCATTCAGGCTATAAATTAACAGTTTATACTGGCTTCAAAAATAATTAAAACTTGAGATTTTCACCATCTTGTGGACGAAACATAAAATTGCATCTTTGAGGAAGCAATATTAACAAAAGACGTGCAAGTTAGGACATACAAAAGAAGGACATTTAAAAAAAAAGCCTGTGTATTTGACACATACAAACATCCTTCATCCTTTTTTTTTTTTTTTTCTTTTTAACCCAATACACCCACAGTGATTTAAAATACATAATTCAGGGGGAATAAAAAGCTGCTTTAGGTGTATCTAGTTGGTATTCTTATCATCAGTTGCAGAAAAAAATATTTTTTCCTCCTAGAAAAGAGGTATTTATATGACCAATGACAAAACAACAAATATTAAATATTATCATATTTTTTCTACTGTAAATATTTTTATAGTTGCTATAAATACTCTCTGTTGGAGCCTGGTTAAAAAAAAGTATTTGTTATTTTTGCAAAGCTGTTCAATTCGTTGCATTTAGGGACATGTTGATTTACAAGAGCTACATAATGTTGTTTCCTTCAATGACAGATACATAAAATATGTACTTCAACTAAATTAAATATGTACCTTGCCAGACAAATAACCACTTACGGATGCAGTATGCCGGCACCGTAGACTCTGGTATGCGAAAGGACAGTTTAAATGGTTTAGTTTTTTGTAATTTGTTAGCATGCAGAAACTAAGCAATATTTTCCACTTCAGGTAGCTTCTTAATCAGTGATGATTCAATTAATCTTTTTGTAGATACAGTCTGAACGCAAGGTATCAGCCTAACTACGCTCCCGAGGTAAACAACCTCAAATTATTACTCTGTCACAGGGAAATTAGTATATGTTACAAAAATAGTTCACAGAACTGTGTAAGAAAAGAACATTTCAGTGGAACAAAGTAATCCAGAAAGTAAGAATTAACCAGAGGGTGGAGCGCCTGGAACTACAAAAAATGATTTATTATCAGATAGCTAAAAATAAGATGCCCATATTTTTATTTGTGCATCTGTTGCTTAATATTGTAATAACATTTTTATATCATAATAATATAAAGGGAAGTTGATATAGCACATTTAGAAATTCACGTGGCTAACTGGAAAAGTTGCTGCTGCATATTATGGAAAATCACACAGTTTTGTTCTAACAAGCAACTGAAAATATGGTGTTTGTATCTCATAAACTAATGAAATTTGACATCGCCTTATCTGGCTATAAAGACTTATATGTAAAGGACTAATCGCCATTAAAAAAAAAAATGTCAAAAACCTCATTTTGACAAAAACCTCAAAAACCTCAACTGGTACAACCTCACGACCTGAGCCGACCGAACACCACCTCCTAACCTCAGTGACTTTCTCTGGCTGGAAAGTCTAACCCCAGGAATACCGGGAACACTTTAAAGGGCAGGGCTGACCTTCAGGGGCCATGGATAGGCTGCAGGAAGGGGCTACCAGGAACCCTTCACGCAATTCAGCAAGGATACAGATGCAAAGCCCAGCACCTGGGGAGGAAGAGCCCCTCACAGCACTACGGGCAGCACACAGCCAGGCTGAGGAGCAGCTCTGCTGCAAGGACAACACCTGGATGACAACAAGGTCACGAGCCAGAAGCAAAGGAGGACAGCAGCCTCCTGGCTGCACTGACAGGAGTGTGGTCACTTGGTTGCCAGAAGCAGCTGTTCCCATCTACTCAGCCAAGCACATGAAGCATCCAAGAAGGCCAACAGCATCCTGGCCTGTATTAGAAATAGTGTAGCCAGCAGGAGTAGGGAGGTGATTGTCACCCTGTACTCAGCTCTGGTTTTGGGTCCCTCAGTACAAGAAGGACATCAAGGCCCTGCACCATGTCCAGAGAAGGGCTACAAAGCTGCTGAAGAGCCTGGAGCACAAGTTGTATGAGGAGCGGCTGAGGGAGCTGGGGTTGTTTAATCTGGAGAAGAGGAGGCTCAGGAGAGACCTCATTGCTCTCTGCAGCTACCTGAAAGGAAGGGGTGGGGAGCTGGGGGTAGGCCTCTGCTCACAGGTAACCAGTGACAGAACTAGAGGGAATGGCCTCAAATTGTGCCAGAGGAGGTTTAGGTTGGCAATGAGGAGACATTTCTGCTCAGAAAGAGCCGTCAGGCACTGGGATGGGTTGCCCAGGGAGGTGGTGGAGTCACCATCCCTTATGGCATTCAAGAAGCGTTTGGATGAGGTGCTACGAGATACATTTTAGTAGCTTAGTGGGTAGTATTGGTCAGAGGAGGACAGTTGGACTAGATGATCCTGTAGGTCGTTTCTAACACGTGTTTCTATGATTCTGTCACATCCAGATGCTGCACCCCTGCACAAAGCAGACTTGGAGCAACCACAGCAGGTTCAGGAAAGGCCCCACCTTGCTCAGGGGCGGAAGCATTTGCCTTGTGAGAAGGGGCTGAGGGAACAGGGCTTGTTCAGCCTGGAAGAAGCAGCCCCTCAGTGCCTACACAGAGATAGGGAAGAGTTCGGGTCCAGGCCCTCCACAGGGACTCGTGGTGGGAGGGTGAGAGAAAATGGGCAAAAAGTGAGATGAGAGGTTTGGACTGGACACAATACTTTCTGCTCAACCAGGGCAGCCCAACACAGGTTGTCCAGAGCATCTTTGAAGATCCTCTGGGTAAAGAGCTGAGCAACCTTGTTTTGAGCAACAGAGAGGACTAGAGACCTCCTGAGGTCTCTCCCAACTTGAATGGCCTTACAATCATACAACATACCTGTGTTTATAATGGAAAATAAAATACAAGGAAAAAAAAGGAATCGTAACTACCAAACCTTAAATATACTAAATTGTTTATGTAAAGTATGTTCATTTATGTAACAGCTTTTTTTTTTTTTTTAAAGGTTAAACCATTCATGTTTTAAACTGTTGGAGAGTGTCCAGAGGAGGGCTACGAAGATGGTGAAAGGCCTGGAGGGGAAGACGTACGAGGAACGGCTGAGGGCACTGGGCCTGTTCAGCCTGGAGAAGAGGAGGCTGAGGGGAGACCTCATCACAGTCTACAACTTCCTCGTAAGGGGGTGTCGAGAGGCAGGAGACCTTTTCTCCATTAACACCAGCGACAGGACCCGCGGGAACGGGGTTAAGCTGAGGCAGGGGAAATTTAGGCTTGACATAAGGAGGGGGTTCTTCACAGAGAGGGTGGTTGCACACTGGAACAGGCTCCCCAGGGAAGTGGTCACTGCACCGAGCCTGTCTGAATTTAAGAAGAGATTGGACTGTGCACTTAGTCACATGGTCTGAACTTTTGGGTAGACCTGTGCGGTGTCAAGAGTTGGACTTGATGATCCTTAAGGGTCCCTTCCAACTCAGGATATTCTATGATTCTATGATTCTATGATTCTAAACATTTTCAACTAATGCATAATTATTATAATTCAATTTGTACATTAACAAACACTTTGGAAAGAAATATTTTGCATCTCATTCTGTGGCAGAAATGGTATGATATAGATAATTTTATTAATTTTTATCTAGAATTTTAACTTACAGTTTTCATAAGACATTTTCTGACTTCAGAAATTCAGCAGCAGGGATGTGATAGCAGTAAGCCGTTATACTAAAGACATCCATAGGCAAAATTATTTTATACTGGCAAATCTAATGTTTGGATAACACTCCTAACATTTTCACTTTCTATCTCATCTCAGACATTTCCCCATCTCTCCCACCAGCATTTCCTCCTAGAGGGTAAATAGCTGTTAAAAATTATTGCCATGTTGTACTGAATTTCAGTAATTGGTGCTGCTTCAGAACAATAAAATTTGAAAATAGTTGGTATTTTTAGTACAGTGCTCTGTAGCTTTGGATACGTTTTACATAGTTTAAATACATACAATGCACATACATATTTCTGTCGAAAACCTTGCAATCTTAGAAAATGGCTATTGGAGTATAATATCTGGAATGCGTAAAGAGTCTATGTATTTGAAATGTAAAAGCTGCCATTTTATGTTCACCTTTATCATGCTTCTTTATTTACAGAGTGCCCACATACATATTGAGCACTTAAAATAATGAACAAATCTGCTCCCAAATTTAACATGAGTTGGAAGTGAAGACACAGAAGACAAAAACTACAAAAATAAGATCAATGCCCAGACAAAATCTAGTTTATGCATAACTTGGCAGTTTCCATAATACTTTAAAACATACTTTTTTTTTTTTAAATGGCACCTTTATACATGTAATACAGTAAACTGAGTTAAAACTGGTCTATGAAGGTGTATTCAAACAATGTGCAAGCTTCCTGTAAAGGTATTAGCCATGCAGCTACACAATTAAAGGGTCAATTCTTTAAACATTAAGAACATTCCTTATATCTGATTAAGAATGGTATTTGCAAGCCTGAGCCCTAACACATCAAGCAGTGTCACTGTTCCTGGTGCAGACTCAACCTATTAAAATAAAAAATTAACAAGGGACTGACTTCAGACGTGAAGAAACTTCAGGCATGTACATGAGCAGTGTTCAGACTAAGCATTACCACTGTAAACAGACTTTAATGAGCTGCAGTGTGCTACTCTGCAACATGACCGAATCTGCCCTTATAAAGTAAGTGAAAATGTAAATACATTATCAAACATAAAGGTCAAAGGAACTATTTCTGAATAGCATTCATATAAATCTCCCGTTCAGTGTTCAAGCACAAAATATTTCCATGTAATTTTTTACTTTACAAATTCTTGAAATGAATGCTACATCTCCATAATTTCCATTATGTTAGAAGTAAACACAAATAGCACACCAACAAGATTTTAAGTCTCAATTTCCACCACCTGAAATAATTTCTTCTGGAGATAATTACAACCATCCTCTTTATTTTTCCTAATCTTAAAATTCAGAACTAATCTAAACCAGAAATAGGATATCTACTACCTAAAGGTCAGATCTGTGCCTCTCACCTGGAGGGCCTTTAAACCCACCATTTGCTTTATAGAAAATGCTAAAGCACGTGCTACCATTGGCCATCCATGTTTCTGAAAAAAAAAAAATCCACTTGAAAATCCATTGATTCCTCAGCCTGGAAATGACTTGCTATACCCACTTTAAATGACAAGTCTCTCAATGTATTTTTTGTTTGGAGTATGCTGTAACTCTTAATCCATACAAATTGAAGAGTAGGGAGAAGAAAAAAAAAATAATGACAAAAAAATGAGCAAAATTGATTTGTTTTCCTTGTTTATCAATATAATCTACAATATTGCTCATATCAGGGTTTTTATTGGAAACCAAGCCATGTGATCACACTAATTAGCGCAGTATGTGCTATTCTGATATTTTAAGAGCACTAATTCTCCAATACAGTATGTTGCCATACCTTCAAGCCAAACGCAAGTCGCATGTTCCATTAATATTTTGTTGCTTGCTTTCCAGCTTAAGCAGAATATTAGAATGGTTTAAGCCATTAGATGTCTTTAAAAAAAAAAAAAAAAAAAAGGATCTTGGCCTGAGTATTCCACATTCTTGCAATATGTATTTTCTTTATTCAATACTCACCAAACAAAAACACATTAATGCAACACACCTACCTTACACCTAAAATAAGACTTGCTTCTCGCCTACTCATTTTCTGTTCAAATCCTCCTTTATAGTAGGATGAAAGACTCTAAGAAGAAAAAAGGCAAAACAAGCAATAATTAGTTTCATATACAAGGTGCCAGGACCTAAATCCTATTTATTTGACCCCAGTCACAGCTTAACATTCATCTATAATTTATTTTGAAGGCATGGAACGAGTAGAAACCAGATAATATGAAAGGACTTCTCCTGGGTGTTAACACATACAAAAGCCAACTTAAAAATAGCTATCTGTGTTTTTACAATCTTCTACTACTAATAGAAGATATTAATAGCTACAACCATTAAAATCCTGCCTTCAGGCAAAACAGCCCAGAATCAAAGTACATGCTAGTATAAAGTGGTACACTGCCTGCGTTTGGGGAAGCAGGGAAGGGAAAGGAGGAAAGTTGTTTAGAATAGCACTGGTTGCACTGAAGTGGAAAATGGCAAGAGTCATGACATTCTGGCATCCAAAGAATTATGGATGATCACTCTGAATTCCACATATTTCTACAAAGAAAGTAGGTATAAGCTATAAAACGATGAGAATGATAAATATAATAAACTGATGAAGAGTCATTTTTTTCTATATGAACCAATGTTACTTAAAGGAATATATCAAAGAATTCTTTGAAGGAACCCTGGAAACAAAAATGATAACAACAACAACAACAAAAAAAAAAAGAGAACAGGTTTAGCATAAAACTTCAAGTTCTATTTCAGGAAATCAGTGTGCTGGAGAACACTGGAAAGGCAGAGTACATGGGGAAACCCTAGCCAGGTTTTGCCTTTATATCCTTCCCTAGACATTGATGACTGATGAAGACTAGAAACAGGATTTGGGGTTAGTTTTTCATTAAAAACTCACTGGCATGTGCAACTTTAGCCACTGTTTTAAGACAAAAATAAGAAAAAAATAAAGAAAAAAACAATAAAGAAGAGAGAGAGATGTGAGTAAATCATCGCAACAATTAATTGTCATAGGGAATAGGTTGAAAGTATACTTGTCAACTGTAAATACATTTTAAAATAATTTTTTAAACAGTAACTGAACTGCAAGGGTGGTTACCAATGATTTCCTCAATGCAAATGTTTCTTACAGAAGAATTAGGGATAGCCCACTGCTATACAAATAACAGTCCCAGAGGCAACAGACATAGCTCCAAGACAGCCTGCCTTTGGGAATTGGCACACAGTGCCAATTGAATCTGCACTCAACAAGACTGAAGGTTTTTTTCCTCAGTGCAAAAACCTATCAACTAGGGAAAAATAAGCTTCTTTTGCTGCTATCAAAGGGAAGACCGGCCTGAGAGCTGAGATTATTTTTAAATGTTCCTTTTACCCCCAAGTAAACGTGTGCCTGGCCCTTAATAAAACACTTTCCTCACTAGCTACACTAAATATATCCATTCATATCCGGCGAGAATTTTGCCTTACATTTATACATACTCTCTCTCAAGTAATTTCAAATGCATTAAAGCATTTATAAGGCTCTGTCTATGATATCTAAATAAAGCCTTTAATTAAGGTTAGGAACAACATTCACCCAAAAGCATGGTTCAGAAATAATCACCTATAGCTACCGGTACAGAACGTCTCTGAAGGCAGCAATTCCCTCGTGGAGCCAGGAAGTTTCACACAGCCACAGAAAAAATATATGTGTGGTTTTGTTTTTTTTTTTCTGGTCAACTTTTTTTGTGCTGCTATGATCTGTAGCAAAACTTACTTTTCTTCTTCCCACCCCACTCAAAACATACATGAAACTACCACCACTGTAACACTTCAGTTACCAAAACCAAAGCAATTGCAGACATGTCATGCCTACAACAAAAATCTGTTGAGGACCCACTGCTATAGCTATAGGGTAACACAAAGCAGGTCTGTCATGGTGCACAGCAACATCAGAGGTTACACTACATAATACACAGAGAACACAAATGGCTTCTCCAGTCCAAGAGGAAATTATTCTAATGATTTAATGACCACCAGGTAACATCCTTGAAGAGGTAAAAATGCCCAGAAATTTGCAAGGACATCGAAGAATTACTACAGCCAGGAGAAAAGAAAAAAGCATGCTTTAATGCCCTGTGAAATATTTTCCAGAACTTCTTCCAAAGAAACTTAAATACAGATGGATTTCTGAAAAGGTTAATTCTTCAACCCTAGCATACAGCTCAAATACAATTGGACACTGATTCATGTACAGAAAAGCAATATTTGAATTCTCTCTAATAAAGCTCCTCTCTGTTCTTGGTAGATTTCATCTAAAATAGCTCATTTGAAAACAGGGAATAAGGAGAAAGATGGCTATAGGCTTAAATTCAGAAATACTTTTTCATGTTTTTAAAGCACTTTTCCTTGACACTGTTCTAACCTCAGAAAGCCTTGATTTGGTTCACTTCCAAGAGAAATCAAAAAAGAAATTCTGTTGTCTATGTCCTTTGGCACATAAACAAATAGGAACCCTCAAAAACAGCATGTGCAAGTGGGTATCAAGAAAAAGCATTTTCTTCTCAGAAATGAAGCACAGGGCAAGAATAATCATTTTCTTAAATTAAAATATTGAACCTAAACAGAATGTAAAGCAAACGGAAATTAGGCATTGAAGCCGCTGTTCCTCTTGGTTAGAATATGGGGAAGAAATATAAAGTATTCATTTTTGTTCTAGTTCCCAAATTAAACAACTTTTCCATGCTATTCAAATTAAAACTAAGAAAAAATTCTTTCTTTTCTAAGTAATGACTGCAGAGAATGAAAAAATATTCAGATATTTTTCTGTTATGAGAACTTTCTCATCTGTAGACAGCTCCAGACACTTCATTATTTATTAACTCTGGCTATTGCAGAAAAATTTTGTACTGGAAGAATCACTAAAATGAGCTCTCCGTTTCTTCATCCTATTGGAGAGGGGCTGGCGAACTTCCATTTAATTTACTTTACTTCCTTGCATATTGTTACTGTTTAGCAACTTATATAAGCAAATTCTGCTTACTAAACAAATGCTATTAATAGGTTGAGGGTGAAATAGAAGATGGCTGGACTTCTGCAAACATGCATTCACTCTTGCAATTTTTCACAAAATCCAATTCAGTTGGACTGTGACATCTTCAAGACACTTTTCCTGGAATAGCACAGAGAAAGCATAATGACTATTTCCATGTAAGATAAATGATATTCAAAACTCCATAACTGAATCCAGACATCACATCGAATTATATGAGGCAGTGTTTTTTTCTGATAACTTTGTGTGTTGGTCCACCACCAATACAGTCCCCCACAGAAAAAGGTAATAAACACTGTGTGCATGTGCTATTTAGAAGCTGTGTTTATAAAGTAACCTAAAATTTGCTGAGATCATCATAGAGATTAATATAAAATGGGCTGCAAATTGTATTAGTCTCTGGAAGCTTTATTTTCAATGAAAGACAAGATGGATGGTTGCTGCTCTTACTTCTTAATTCAGGAGTCTGTACATCTGAGCAGAAATTGATCAAATACGGGAAACTGAGTGCAAAAATTGCCTATGAGGTGCTGTAGAAGGGACCATTGTTTTCTGGAACACAATTTTCAGGATTAGGGAATTTGAGGATTTTAACAGATTTGCCTAGAATTGCCACTCCTATAGTTGAATATTAAATATCATTGATTAAAAAAAGGAAAAGTAGTGCTCTTGAAATATTTTTTATTTACTCTAATAAGAAAATATTAATATTATGATTAATAGCATTAAGGTCTTTCTGAGGAAGAAAAAAGAAATGACTACATAGCGCCAAGAACCTTATACTTGCAATAGATCCAAGACACTACCCGGAGAAACAAAACAGTGTCACTGGCACTGGTGATAACAGTAGCAAAATAAGGTTCAAGCTAAAAATAAATAAATTCATAAACAAAGTATTTCTCTGGAAACCATTGTGAGGGACTTGTTATAGAGGAGAAATAAAAGTGTTCCCTCTTACGTCGTCTTCCCCTGAAAAAAGATAGTAAAAAATTTCAGTGATAAATTATATCAGCATTTACTCTTTATACTTAAAAAGTCTATATACTTAATTGGGATAAGTTAAAGCTAAACAAGAGGTAGGAATTCAGAATAAAATGTAACACTTTTTACTAGCTTTTACTTGCTCCTTCTGGCTAGAAGATGAGTGGAATTGTTGATTCCACACGTTAGTTATTTAGGTAAGTAAATAGTGTCAGACACTCAAGATCCAACAAGCAAGCATTTTAAATGATCACTTTGTAACTGCTCAACTTGACCTCACGTAAGTAATTTATTAGCGAGCAGGAAGAAAGGATAACACTGCAACTACAGCTAACAAGAGCTGCAATTTCTATTGCGAACAGGAGAAAAAAAAGTAACTACAAACGTGGGGAGAAGAAGAGTCGGTGCTTACAGAAAGAACCAGCTAGCATTTCAACAGGCAGCTGCTTCACTCTTCCCCCAAAAACAAAGGCTATGAGGGACAGGGTCTGATTCTAGAAAACTAGAGTAACCACTGAAAACTACAGTGACCAAGTTAGGTGCCTCTTAACACTACAGGAAACCAGCAAAGTAGCACTAAGCCTAGACACAAAATGAATTCCAGGTGCTTTTTCCAGTAAACACAGGCAGAAGTACTAACTGCTTGATTTCCATTGTCAGCACAGTTTAGAGAGCAATACGCTGTAAAGAGACATGATGAAAGTCCTAACCCATAGATTATATTCAGCAGCTTCAAATTCCCCAAAACGAAATCATCTGAAGCAACTAAAATAAGAAGTTTGGACAACAAACACTTACCTAGAATCTTTTTATGTAGTATTTTCTCTTTCTATTGTTTTACAGACAAATTACAAATAGGAAATGATTGTTAAGGGGAAAAAAAAAAATAAATCAGAAAATATACAATCCAATAAAGTTGTACCTGCAGAGTAATAGAGAACAGATAACCTTTGCTTTGGAATTAGACAAGGGACTTAAATTTGGACTATGATTGTAGAAAAAAAATGCCATTACCCTCACAAGTATACAGTTAACAAATACATGCAGTTAATGGCAAAACAGATGAGTTTTAGTGTATCCAGCAGATCTCATGTTATACTGAAAACCTCTATTTTTATTATTAGCAATAGAAGAGAAGCACCCTACTAGAGATCAACGTATAACTCTGGGCTTTAAGGCAGGATGTGAAGGCAGAAACAGGACTCAACTCCAGGAACACTGGGAATTCAGAAGGCACTCTGGGTTGTTGGTGAATTCTGCAGGACTGTGGAAGTCATTAAGGTAAAAATGAAATAGACCTCTGGTGAGCCAGGCTCAGCCAACTTACTGGTTCTGAGGGGTACAGTTTCCTAGGAACAGACACCTCTCTGTGCAGTAGCATGTCATATTTCAATGTATTAAAAAGTCACCACCTGCATTCTTGCATGCAAATGTCTGAATTTAGATTCTCTAGTCCGTAGCTACAAGTGGATAGATGAAGTGCTGGACTAAAACTTCTGGAGAAGGAGGATGAAGACAGAAACACTCCTTACTTTGAAACCATGTCCTTACTGCTTGCTAGTTCTAGTCATACTGTATCTGCTTCACATGAAAGCAATTTAATTCAGAGTACCTGAAGTCCCCTCTGCCGTTTTGGCAGGCAACATGGGAACCTCTCCAAAAATGACTTTAGAAAGGAAAAATGAAATTGGTGTTGGTCTCACAACAGCAATGCAATAGAGGGACAGAGAGCAAAAATTGATCCTGGCACACCATTTCTGGCTGATACACATCACAATTAGGAACAAGTATGGAACTGCCCTAAGAGGACAGCCCATGTTTTGAGTGTCTTTCCTTCCCCTGGAAGCTTGCACTGATGATCCCTGCACCTTCAGCACATCAACACAAAGTAGAGAAGGCAAACAGATCTGGCCCCTACCTTCTGCCCATTCTTGGCACGCAGTATATAGACAAGCTCCACGTTGCAACTGGCTTCACAAATACATGCAACGTTAAAGAACACTTTTCAAGAATCCTGCCTGTTTTTTTTTTTTATTTTTTTTTCCAGTAAATAACCATCTGCAATAATTATTCACTCACACATCAAAAGGGGAATGGTGGAATTATCCACTTCCATCTGTGAACAAGTGTTCACAAACTGAACTTTGAAAGAATCAATTGCTATAAGCATACACCTACCTCCGTAGGAATTACTTTAAACAAACTGGAATGGAACATATTTATTTATTTACCAGAGGACAGTGTAGTCATTGAAGCCAAAAACAAAGTGCTCTGGAATATTTCTTGTATTTGCTCCTCTCACAACAGCCTGCCTTTTGATTTGCCTTCTTCATTATTTTATTTTAAAACAAGTGGAGGAATAAAGAAAACAGGATCTTAGTTAAGAACTCAAATGTTACAGCTGGGGAACAACAACAACAAAAAAGACAATTCATGTGCAAAGAGATAGAGGACCTTGTTTTCTTGTTCACACGTGAGTTGCAAAGAAAGAAAACAAGCTCCTCCATCTCTTTGGCAACCGTTCCTGGAAGTTTATCTGTAAGAAAAATGACTGAATTTGTTCCTTTTTAGCTTCTTAAAATGAAACTGCAGGTCATTGCTTTGTAATTGCTAGGATTTAGCTATCTTCCTACAACCCACTTCAACAATTTCTTGTAAGACTTACAAGTAAAAACTTCTGAAAAACAGAATGTCACCAGGAAAATTAGAAATGCTTATGAAATCTCACAAACATTTTTTGATACAGTTTCATTTACAGAGACTTATAATATACTAAATAAAATGCTAGAACATACAGAGTAAGGAGCACCCTTACCCCAGGGAGAAAAAAAAAAAATCTAGCTGGCACTTACTATTTTCAAACATAAAATGGCTCCTTTCAAAATACTTAGAATTTAAAAAATGATTTAGCTAGTACAAAGTAACCTCTAAACTTACAGACGTTGAAATCTTCCTTGCTGTCTCTGTAATTGCTTGCTCCAATGGCTTCCAAAGGTGAAATGCATAACGGCCTGGAAAAGATTGAAGTTAGATGAACTTATAATCAACATCCACACGTACACAAACAAATAGCCTCTGACATCTGCTCCACAGCTTACAGAAGAATTTTAATTGAAAAAAATAAATAAATCAAAGTCATTCTTCATTGTTAGTCTTTTCATTTCATTTATTTGCTGTACAGCACTGTTGCATTTTGCTGTTTTTCAAGATATTTCCTCACCAGCTGGTTCTAGATCCTGCCCAGGAGAAGTCCCATGATAAACCTGCAGTGGTTTACATTTTTCGGTCTTCATACTGGGAGTGGGGGGCAGGAGAATTTTAATACACTGAATATAGAAACCCAGTCGCAGACGGCAAAGATCCTTTGTGCTTGCGCACAAAATAAATAGATTTAAATGCATTTCAATATGACAAATGAAGTTATCTGCCTTGTGAACTTTAAGTAAAAGCGAAATATGAAACATTAGCTTTCAATAAACATTATTTATTAAATACTGCTCAAAGGTTATGTTTTCCAAACAAATCTATATACTACATGTTTCTTGATCTGATGTTGTACGCTTAATCACATATTGTAAGCACTGCATTTTTTATTTTGTTAAAAAGAGAAGGCCTTTTGGGATTCATAGCCTTTCAACTCCCAAATGGCAGTGAGCATCTAGAGCTAAGAAAGGCACTAAATCAGGCTGTATTCTCTGAAGCACGAAGAGGGTCTACCAACTAAAGAATCAAAATTTGTATTGCATTACTGGCAGGTTTTCCCTGTAGGTCCCCTTCCCTCAATTTGTGTTTTGATTAATTATTCATTAGCAACATAACATACTATTATACACAATGGAAAAGCATTGTATCAGACGTGTCCCTGCTTTACTCTCATAACATCTTGCTTTCATTCTTAAAATACAGGATGTCTCCATAGGTTATTTTAGCCATTTAAGTCTGTAGCTGCACTAACATCAAAGTTAAAATCACTGTTGGAGTATCACTGCTGAAACGCTGTCATGTACAAATAACATACTACCTCACCTTCTTCTTAAAGCTTACTGTTACCACTTCATTGCTAGCTGTCACTACTACTTCTGCTCAACCAGCAAAAGAAATTCTGAAAGTACTCCTCTTCTGCTTCTACAGAAGCACATGTAACAACCAACTTAACAGCTGTACATCACCAAAGATCCTGACTTTCCTTCCCCTAATTAAAATAAAACAGCTGTACCCACAAAACACCAGCTGAATTTTAGTGTAACTTGTTCATCTATTTGCATCTATTCTTGGTGTACGCATTTGCACATGTCTGAGCATGGCTGATTTTACATCCTGGAAGTAATGGATATTAATTTGTGTATTTCAACACCAGAACAGACCAGTTATCCTACATGAAAAAAACAGCACGTAAATCACACTAAGCCCATGGCCCATATTCACACTAGAATATATTTTTCAGAAATACAAAGTCTAAATACAAATAGTTCAGGTAACAAACACGCTATTATAGGAACAGTTTAAACTGATAAACCATTGTAGCCACTAAAGCCTTTTATTTTCCTCTATTTGAATTTGTCTAGCATCACCTTCACACCACAAGGTTCTGCTGCGCACTTTTGTACTAAAGAACCTCTTCCTTGCAATATCCTTCTGTGTGTGCGCATGTATAATGTCATCATTTTACATTACATGTGCAGACAGAGAATATGCAGAACCTTTTCACTGCTGCCCATAAAAATGTTTTTCTAGCAGCGACTTTTTCAAGGAGAATTTTGGAAAAAGTATCAGGGAATTTTGAAGGGACAGGAGCTACAACTGGACACGATTCTCCATAGCACTCTCAGGCAACTTCCACTTCCCAAAATAAATATTCATAGAAACTCCATTAACCTGTTTGGAAACGTAGCAGTTCCACAGCCTGCTAGAAATTCAGCTTACCTGCAAATGCAACGGTTGCAATGCCAAGTCCGACTGCTATCATAGATCTGGCCTAAAGCAGAAAAAACAGGAAACAAAATAAACTGCAAATTCAATTTGAAATACAGGCATCTTTAACAGCAAGTATTTCTTATGCCTGCCATATATAATTTATATGAAATATAAAAGAAGGTTCTGTATTCCACAGGCTACATCAGGTTTTATACTTCAGCCCCACAAACCCAATGCTTCAGGTTTAACTTGCAACTATCCATTAGCATATCAGTGAATAAATACTAACAGCTTACTATATGCAATAATAAAAACATAAGGCAGACGCTGCTCAGGATTACCTGATTTTTTTTTGTGCAGGCTAGTTCAACACAGTCTGAAATCATGTTTGCCATAACAGAAGGTATTAGTTTATTACAAAAACAGGGAAGCAAAAAAAAAAAAGTCGCATCCCACAGCTGTAGCCACAAACAGTCATGTCATCCATCTCTCACGCTGTGACTCATGGAAGCCCCACGGTCAACACATAGAGCCTGGACATCTCATTATTTACTGTCAACCACTGTCTGAACTTATAGTAAAAATATTTGTAAAGAGACTTTACAGAGACTTCATTTTCAGCTTAACTTTGCTTCAAGTCTAACTGGACTCCTGGAACCAAACTCACCACAAGACTTGACCATCTGATTCACTAGCAACTCCTACCTTTTCCTAACTAAAAGACCTCAAATAAGGTGTGTATGCTTTTCTACACAGTGTTTGAAGAAAGTCAAGCATCCTATAAAGGATATTGAACAAGAAGCTGCTACACAATACTTAGTAAACCTTGAAGAAGAAGGGACTGACTCCTCAACCTTTTCCAGAACCCAGGAAGGGTAATGAGCATCACAAGCACACGTCTGGTGTATCTGTCCACATCTGAAAAGCCTACGTTTAACCTTTGAAAAAAAATGAAATAATGTTATCTGTGGCATTACCTGTTTTATGATAGTTTAATAATGCCTTGAAGTTTATGCCAGAAATCATGAGAAATCAGATTAAGCCTGTTTAGTTGGAATTCAAAACATAAGTACAATGAAAATGCTTTTATCACCAGATTGATTCTTCTGTGTATGCCTTTCTGCTCCTATTACTTCTGCATTTAAAAACTGGTTTATAAGATTTCTACCAACAAAGCTGAGAGCAGGACTGGAAGCCCAATTTTCAACATTAGGGTCCCAGTAACATGATCTGGAACCATGTAGCCTTCACTACTAAGACCCCCGGGGCTAAAATTCTTTGTAGTAAATCTTATTTCTAGACAGAGATGGAGAAGAGTTAGGAAATACAGCTTTTAAAGCCTTCTAGAATTGGATTATCAGCGGCTAGAACCCAGCTGGAGCTCCAAAGTTAAGGCTGGGGGAGTTTTGTACAGAAGTACTTAAAATCCACCTGTCTATCCCATTTTATTTGTCTAACTCTCCATTTCATTGTAGCCTCAAGTCTTGGTATTACCAATCATTTCTGAACGATAAGCATGTAAAAATAACGTAGTAGTTTAATGTCTGTTGTTCCTTTCAGTTGCACAAAATTTCCCTTCATCTTCAGACCATGAAAAAAATCTAAGTATGCTGCCTTAAATGGTAGATGAAATAAAACAGTGAAGCACACAGTTCATCTCCTCGCTAAACTCAAATTCGTTTCATTTCTTCTCACAAATCGGTTTTCCCAGGCTCTCAATACACAAAAAACTTCCACTAAATTCTTGTGATCTCTGTTTAGAGACTAAGCAGCAGTTGCCACGTTTCTGGAAATATCAAGACCCTATAGAAATCCTATATTATTCTGTGCTCTGTGATCATGGATTTATATGCAGTACAGACTTTCCAGAACTCATTCAGAGTGACAGCAAGAATCTTTCACTAAGTGGTTACAGCCAATTAAGAGCCCAACAATGTGTGAAATAGATCATATTGGAAAAAAAAATATATATTTATTAGCCTGCGCTTGTCAAAATTAAGTTATACTTGCTTTGCCACCAACAAGGTGGCTTATGTCAGCAATTTACAGCAAGGTACACTGGTAAGGACACCTCCTCGCAGGTTAAGGCAGAGCAGAAACCAGGCTAATAAATAAACCCTGGGCCATGTCAGCTCAGCACAGACGTTGCTTAAGTGTTTTTGCAGAGTGGTTTGGGAACACAGGGCAGAGATCCCTGAGGGCCTTTGATAGAGTCAGTCATGTCCACTGGTGTATATTATTGCAATCTCAGTGGAAAGCACTCGCAGTTACTGGAAAGCTAGTGGAAAGCAGATTTAAAATAAAAAAGTGAAAAAAAAAAAAATAAGTGTGCCAGCAGCTCTAGGTTAAAAACTGTAAGGAAGATCAGCAGGAATCTGAAGACGAGCCAGAAAAGTAGCTAAAAGACATGGGAAGATCAAGCCAAAGAGGCATGAAAGATTGCCCACTTTTACAGGTGAGGTACAGCTACCCAAAAAGTTGAGAAACATTGGTTTAAGAACTGAATTTAAATCAATGGAAGAAAGATTGCACGGTTCATCTTTTACTGTCACAGCCTCTCTCATAAAATCAGAGGTAACTTCAAGTACTAACCAGTAAATCCTTTAAGTCCAGTCTGCTTCAGATTCCTTTTCCATGCCCACTTAACTCAGATGATTATTTAGAAGCATAAATCAAGGCTACTCTGAAACACAAGGCTTTGAAACACAGCGCACAGAATTTTATTCTTATAATGAGTGCAAAGCTTTAATTAAATGCACTCTTTTCTTGTCAATATTAAAGAAAACAATTCATTCTCACTGCGGAAGGGATCAGCTTATTTATGGCATGCTAAGACAACTAGGACCATGACCGTTTTGGATCACACTGCTTGAAAATGCCTGCTATTTCAGATGAAAAGGCAGTAAAAAAAAAAATAATAATAATAATAATAAAAAAAACTATGACGGAATTGGCTTTTTTCCCTAAAAAAAAAAACAAGTTTAAGAAATTTAAAATATGTGGGTTTTTTAAGAAAGCATTCTTTTAAGATCCAAGAGGGAAAAATAAAGAACTAAAAGATTAAAAAGTAAAATCTGTCCCTTTCTTGATTCAATGAATCAGCTCCCAAAGGTTAGTCATCAACTCTGTGCTATTCTGCTGATCTCAGTATTTTAATTTTACTATGTAGTTCAGTTTTCGGTAACAAACCCTCTTCGATACAGACAATAAAACAAAGTTTTGCTAATACTGCAAAACCTGATTTTTTTATTATTTTTTTGAGCATTATGTATTAGGAAATACACACATTAGAAAGGCAACTGCAATACCTGACTTACCAGAGCATTTGGCAAACAAAAAAGGATAAGGCATATTAACTAACATACAGTATATATGTGGAGGTATACATTATATGCTGTTAGCATAGAGATATGGCCTAATTTTTTAATTTGTAATTTTCCAGAAACCTTATTTTTTTTAGAAGAAACTGGGAAGAGTAAGTTACCATTCTGCAAATTCCTAATCCACAGTGCCCTGCTAACTTAACTGTGCTCAAAAAGGTAACTTCTGTGACTCCTACCATTACAGCTTTTCCTTCCACAGAAATAAAAATAGTAGAAAAAAGTTAAACTAACAAACATAAAGAGAATTGCAAATGCATGCTTTTAAAATTTCAGGATTATACTATTACATCTGACTACAGGCTACCAGAACCGACTTCACAAATGTCAAAACATACCTGCTTAAACAGGGTTTGGATTTTATTCTCTGGTTCTTCTACTGCCATCAGTGAAAACACCTTTCTTGGTTAAATGAAAAATATTTTGCTTTTCCCACAATCAGCTTTCAAATACACAGCAAGAGCTGTATTCTTTTTTGGGCCACAGAAAGCTACAGTCTAATGCAATAAAAAGCACAGAGAAAAATAATAATTTGTTCTGATGGGCTGGGCAGCAGTTTATTAGTCCTTTTTTCTCTTTAAACAGCTGCATGCTGCTAAGAAATAGGATTCACAAGTATATTAACCAAGCATACAAAAATATTTCTGAATAGTTTAATATTCAGAATAAATAAAAATGCCTGAAATAAATGATTGTATTTGGCATGGAAGGTAGAAGGTTTCTTCTACGCCTCAGAAGAGTAGCTACAGCTTATTAGAAGCCTGTTTCAGAGCAAACCACCTAATCAGCTCTATATGGAGCCGGATACGTTGGAATTATATCATAAACTATCTGCAACAGACTTGATTTCATAACCTAATGCCTTGCATCCACTCTTACCTTCCTATGTAATTTAATTTCTTTTCCAATAGTAAATTAAAAGTAATTTCAGCTGGATACTCCTCTCCATACTCACCCAATTTTCATGTAATTTTTTTATCATCTATTTTACAGCATTTTTTCTCTTTTCTGTTTAAAAAGAAAACGCTTGCATACTGTCAGCTGATGGGGGACTTCAACCACCTGGCTGTGAGCTGGGGAAGCCCCACAGCAGGCTGTGAGCAATCCAGGAGACTCCCAGAGTGTGTTGAGGATAACTTCATGGTCCAGGTATGAGACAACCCAACTGGAGGAGAAGTGTCACTGGGCCTGGTGTTCACCAGTGGGGGTGAGCTTATTAAAGAGGTTTAGACTGAAGGCAGTCTGAGCTGCAGTGACCATGTCCTGCATGGTCTTTTTGTGGTCTTGGGGAATACAAGCCTGGTGAAGAGCAAAGGCAGGACTCTGAACTTCCAAAGAGCAAACTTCCAGCTGTTTAAAGACCTAGTGGATGAATACTGTCCTTAGGGACAAAGGAGCTGAGCAGAGTTGGAAGCTCTTCAAGGATGTTTTCCTTACAGGACAAGAACTTTCCGTCTCCTGTGTAAGAAAGTGGGCAGGGAGGGCAGACAACCAGGATGGGTGAGGCAGGACCTGCTGGTCAGACTGAGGCACAGGAAATAAATGCACAGGCAGGGGAAGCAGGGACACGTGGCCTGGGAAGAGCACGGGGATGGTGTCTGGGTGTGCAGGGATGGGGGCAGGAAAGCCAAGGCACAGCTGGAACTGAGCTTGATGAGGAATGCAAAAAATAACAAGGAGAGATTCCCTCAGTACATTGACCAGAAAAGAAAGGCCAAAGAGAGCGTGCCCCCTCTGATAAATGAGAACTGGTAATGACAGATGTGGAGAAGGCTGAGGTACTCAGCAACTTGTTGGCCTCAGTCTCTGCTGCCAGTCAGGCTTCCCACATCTCTCAAGTCCCTGAACCTCTGGACAAGGTTTGGCTGGGGAAGCAAAGTGCCTGCCACTGCAAGCAAAGAGCAGGTTCGAGACCACCTGGTGGAAATGAACAGGTACAAGTCTGTGGGGCCTGACACCATACGTCCCAGGGTCCTGAGGGAATGGGCTGATAGAGTTGCCAAGTCTTTCTCCATCATATTTGAAAAATCCTCTCAGTCAGGTGGAGTCCCTGGTGACTAGAAAAAGTGAAACATCACTCCCATTTTTAAAAAGGGTAGAAAGGAAGACCTGAGGAACTACAGACCTGTGAGCCTCACTTCGGTGCCTGGGAAGATCATGGAACAGATCCTCCTGGAAGCAGTGTCAAGGCACATGCAGGAGGACAAAGAGGGGATCCGAGACAGCCAGCATGGCCTCACCAAGAGCAAATTGTGCCCGACCAACCTGGTGGCTTCTATGATGGAGTGGGTGCATCAGTTGACTAGGGAAGACCAACCAATTTCATCCACCTGGACTTCTGTAAGGCCTTTGACACAGTCCCATGTGACATCCTGATCTCCAAATTGGAGAGAGATGGATTTGAAGGGTGGACCATTCAGTGCAGAAGGAATTGGCTTGAAGGTCGCACCCAGCAAGTGGCAGCCAACGGCTCCATGTCCAGGTGGAGGCCAGTGACAAGCAGTGTCCCTCAGGGGTCTGTCCTGGGAATGGTCCTGTTTAATATCTTAATTAATGACGAGGTAGAAGAGGGTGCACAGGGAGGAGAGAAGGGGAAGGTGTTTTTAGTTTGCTTGTAGTTTCTCACTGTTCTAATCCGTCAGTAATAGGGAATAAATTATATTAATCTTCCTATGTTGAATCTGTTTTGCCTGTGATGGGAATTGGTGAGTGATCTGCTTGCCTTTATCTCAAACCTAAATTTCTTTTTCATCATATTTTCTCCCCCTGTCCAGTTGAGGAAGGGGAAGTGACAGCGCAGTGTGATGGAGTTTATGTAGCCATCAGTGTGAAACTGTCACAAGACATTGTTAACCCCAGATGTTGTAAGGAATAGACGCACAATGCTATAGTTGATCTTGATACAACTTTGAATTGAGTAAAGAAAATATATATATAATTTCTTTGTCTTTTAACACCTTTGCATTTAATTATATACAACTTGACCTCCTGAATTCCCTAGTTAGGAATCCAACAAGCACGTACCCTGTCTCTTCCACTGCTTACATGAGGCCATGACGTAGGTTCTAATCAAACTACAAATTAGCCTCCATTGCCAACCATTTGTTAACAGTTCACAACAAATATGGTTAGAAATGTGTTTTATAAGACATTGACAAGTTAAAGATGAGCTTCATGAAGAAGCATTTTAGGGTGAATCTAGTCGTGACTGAGAGAACATTAGTTAGAGATGAAGACATTTTAATTAATTTATATTGGTTGGACTCCATCTTGAGGTCTCTTCTGACCTAGACAATTCTGTGATTTTGTGATATTCCCGTCTTTTAATGAACAGTAGCCTCTAACTATCACAGAAATTACGTGCCTTTACCCATGCTATTCCTCAAAAAGTATGGGTTATCAATTATAGTTAAATGTAAAAACATATCTTAGCACCTGGAAACTCAAGGGCGAGCTTTTTTCCTTTTTTTTTTTTTTTTTTTTCCTTCAAGGCTCTGACCACGGTACTGCATGGATTTTCATTTAGAGTTACAATTTGTAGCCTCTGAACCTGAATGTGTGACCACCACAGCTGGTCCGTTTGGTTCCTACCAAGCTGGCTGAATACTGGGACACGTCTTAGACTACACCAAAGCCCGCTCTGAAATACTTCCCACTTCTTCTTCTGTAACGTCAGCTTAAGATCCTTACCTTCCGAGCAGTTAGTGATCCCTCTCCAGCTCCCACTAACACCCAAGCGTTAATCCCACAAATCCCCGTGACAGCAGCACAAAGACCTCAGCCCCAGAGCAAACACTTGAAAACTGAAAATACCGAAAATACCGCTTTCTCCACCAAAACGCCTGTCTGAAGAACAAACCCCAAGGAGAAAGTGGTGACAGCCCAGAGCCTGGTAATGTAAAACCCTTCCACCTAACACCGAGACCACGACAAAACAACCCCGCTGCACCCCTGTGACTGGACCCTAGGCTGCTGGGACAAGGAACAGACGGGTTACAGAACCTATGCATCATACAGAGAGAAATATGGTGTAAAAATGGCATTAAAAACTAAACTCGCAGAGTCAGACGCACGGACACCAGCGTGTATTTACAGGCATTTAATAAAAGTGAAGCCCAAGCCCCCCTGTGCGGGCAGAGCCCGTCCTTGTCGTGCCCCCCCCACCCCCCAGTGCCTGCCCCGCAGCGCGCTCACCAGCCCCCGCTCTGGCTCGGCTTGGCCCTTGCCGGCACCCGTAGCGGCCCCGGTGTACTCGGCATAGCGCAGGGCCTCGGAGGAGGCCCCGGCTCCCTCCATAATGGCGGCGGTGGCGGCACGCTACGGGCCGCCCGGAGGGACAAACCAGTTGGAAGGCGAAGCTCCGCCTCGCGTCACTCTGCCCTGACGGGGGGAGGGGCCCCCTTGGCGGGGAGCGGGGCGGGCGGTACCACAGCGGCTTGGGGGGGGGGGGAGATGGAGTCTCGCCCTTCACCTTCTCGTCCCCGCTTTGTGGCCGCCCTCACGTAGACTGCAGATCCTGCTAAAAGAGGTTGAGGGCTCGGCTTTATAGCTGAGGTTCCCGTGAGGGTGCTCATAGCTAAAGTAGAAGTGGAGCTCCCCCCCGCCTCACCGCTGGTGGTACGCGCCGCGCTGAGGAGGGGCGGTTGGGCGCGGCGCTGTGCTTCGCCCCCTGAGGGGGCCCTGAGGGAGGGGGGACTCTGTCCCTGTCCCTGTCCCTGTCCCTGTCCCTGTCCCTGTCCCTGTCCCTGTCCCTGTCCCTGTCCCTGTCCCTGTCCCTGTCCCTTTCTGTTGTCCTCCAGCCGCCCTGAGGAGCTGGGGGGCTGCCAGACGGGTGGCTCCTTGTTCTAAACCCAGAGAAAGAACGGGGAAAGGGGGGGGGGAGGGGTGAGAAAGGGATGCGGGACAATTTATGCGTTAAAAATTAGGGTAAGAAGCACAAGAAGGAAAACACTTGAAAGGAGGAAAAGCCAGGCAGAAATTATTTGTGTCGGCCTTCAGAAAGTAGAGGATTTTATTAGGGGGAAGACAGCTACAAAGGAAAGGATAAAGGAAGTTAGATCTGGAGGAAAAATAAATAAATGAATAAATAAATTCTTCTTTAATATTTCTATTTTTTGCACCTTGGTTGATGTCTGTATCTATCAATATATTTTGATGTCCTGAAAATCCTGGCAGCTGGGGGTCATAGTTCACCCTGCTGAAAACCTTCAAGTGATACTTCAAATGCAGGGGTTGCGGGTTACGATTAGTCCTGTATCACCCAAAATGTGCCATCTCTTCCCAATAATGCAGCATAACTCAACCTCTTCTGCCCTTACCTCATCCTTAGTCTTACCTTAAGCCTTAACCTTTGTAGTACTGGTACTGGAATTGAATTGTCTGGACACCCTGGAACTCAACAATAAAAAAAAAATAATAATAAAAAATTATCTCCTGTTTCAAAGTGATTTTTCTTCAGACACATCATTCTGAGCCTCTGTTGTGATTTTGTATATCTGATTGATACTTACCAATCTTCTCTAACACTGACAGGCAACTACTTTAATTCATCTCTAAGTATCTTCATAAAGTACAGCTGCTATTAGCTGTAAAGGTGAGAATAGCATTTCATTAATCTCGGACGGATATATAAATTTAACTTGCTGCAGCACAGAAGTCGTTGGAAGTTGTCTGATGATTCATTTGGGAAGAAATATATACCTTTTTACTTCTTCATTCAATACATAACATATGATCATATATGATTAATATTTAAATTTTCAGTGGAATTGAATTTCTTGTAATCTTGAAACCTATTTCAAAATCAATAAAGATGTCCCCAACTGATCATTTTTTGTTCATTGATTTGCATAGAAGTAATGCAGAGTAGCATGTCACTTGCTACCTTTTTGATTAGCAAACTCTGTTTAAAAGTAATAAATTTAAAATAGTGGAACTGAGTAGGCTTTTTTTCCCCTTAATTCTCCTCTCCTGCATTTTATTGCAACGTGTTTAGAAAATCTGTGTCTCTCCTGATGAGAAAGTACTTTGACAAAAGATAATCTGCTATAAGAGAAGAAACACTGTATTTGTTTGGGGCAGAAATCTGAAATGGTAGGAAATAAGAAGCCAAACAAATAAGAGCAGAGGAAAGTAAGAGGCAAATCTGTGAAGCGAAAGACTGCAGAAAATATTTTTTCCTCATTCTGCTATGTATAGTTTTCTTTTTTGGTAGTAGCACCTAAGAAAGTAATGAAACTACCTACTTTACTTTTTGTCCTCTCCAACTTTTTATAGAGAAAAATGATGAATGTATTACCAGCAAAAGTTAATAACATCAGAAATCAAAAGCAAGCGAGTAGGTTTGGAAAGGGAAGCCACACAACAAAACATCTTACGTGTAACTTCAAAAATATGTTACTAGTTTTCTGATTGCTGGTAGCACATCAAAGACCAGCAACTCTGGGAAATAGCTGTCCACAAAGACATTTGGTCAACAGCTGACTACAATGCAAGGATGTTGTACTTCGTATGTATAATCTGAGTTGCCTACATATGTGGTGACCCAAAGCCTTGTGATAGAATCACAGAATTGTTTAGGTTACAAAGGACCTCGTGTCTGTTTGGGCATGGGTCCTGTATTCCTCATGGGTTGCCTGCCACTGTTTCCATCTCTAGCACACTTTTTTATATTTGAGTTTAGTTAGGAGCAGCTTGTTCATCTATGCAGGCCTCCTGCTGCTCTGGCCTAACTTCTGCATGTTGGCATGGACTGCTCTTAAGCTTGTAGCAGGTGATCCTTCAGAATCAAACAGCTCTCTTGGACTCCTCTTCAGTACTATATCCCATGGGATACTTCCAAAGAGATCTCTAAGATCCCTGAACAGGCTGCTTTCTTCAAGTCCAGGGTTGTGATCCTGCTGTTTGCCCTAACATCTCAATATCGCTGTGGCCAAGGCTGCCCTCAGCCTCCATACCCCTGGCAAGTTCTTCCCTTTTTTTTTCAGTGTCGGGTCCAGCAGAGCATCTCCCCTTGTCAGCTCCTTGATCACCCCTGAAGGGATATTATCATGAGTGAACTCCAGTGACATCTTATGCCACTGAAAGGGTAGCAGAACTTGGCCTTTAAGGACACGGAGACACTTTATAGTCCATCCAAATATGTCTGGTCAAGCTCTGAGATGAAAAACATTGCTCTGAGTGCCTTCTTCATATCACCAGCTATGCTACTATGATCACATTCTGAACAGTGAGACTTAAGAAGAATGTAGATTAAGCAGAGCCAGCCAGTCAATCAACACAAGGAAAATCAATCCTTTCCTGGGAGTGAAAGACACTAGGTCATTTCCCTTGGAAGCAAAGAGGGGAGGAATGAAAGCTGCTGGCTCTTTGGTTATGGTTGTCTCCCTGCGCTCCTCACAGCATGGCACAGCTGCGTGCTGTGCTGTGCACAGGATGGTACTGGTAGAAACAATCTGTCCATTACTATTTTAATGTAATCCTAAACACTGGTACGCTCCAGCATTTTTTCACTGTTAATATGTAGCAGCGTTGTCCATATTTGTTATGCCATTTAAGTTAATTGTCTGCATATTTTTCCTGTAAATGACTTGCCTAAACAGTCTGTGTTACAGCATTCCGCGCTGCAGTCAGGATCAATGCTGGCAAGAATCTCTGTCGGGAAGGAAGGAGAAACAGAAACCAGATTAAAGCTTGTGAAATTGATAACAAGGACTTTGGATTTACTCTTTACAACTGAGCGTTGCCAAAGTGCCTGCAAATGTAGCAGCTGACCAGTGACATGAGAATGGCAGAGACTGAAGCTTCACGCTGAAGATTAAAGTTTCTGAGGTCATGCAGAGAAGGGAGTATAATTACGAGTTATCAAGAAAATCATAAGGCGTATCATATAAAATTGGTAGAATCAGTACTTGAGCCTTGCTGAGTTGTCATGTGCATACAAATGAATAAGGAAAGAATCTTTCCAGGCACTGCACCAGGATTAGAGGTTGGAAGGGTTCCTTGCTCCTAAAAGCATTTGTATGTTTCTTTAATTACCGCAATACACGATAAAAGCAAAATGAGGCATGGGCTGTGGGCTTCTCCTAATTTCTTTAAGTAACATATTCTGAAACATTAAACAATAAAGAATGTAATGTTCTTTCTAGGTACCATAATAATTGCATGATGCCTTTGGTTGACTAGGTACCGCAGGGAAATATATTATATGAAATCCTAAGCTGGAACTAATCATGGCCTTCAGGAATTACAAGAGTACAATTATCCCTTGAAGACATGGTGGAGAGGATGGTATGTATATACAGCAAGAGGCTCAGGTACCTTTTGCGAGTAAGCGTGTTAAAATAATTTATGCAGAAGTCAGTCTCCACTCTAAAAAACTGTTAAGGAAAAAATATATTCATGAATTTTAAAAATGTTATGTTAATGTTGCCAGACCTCCCAAGGACTTTTCCTTCTGGACAAAATGGTGGAGCACTGGCTGTAAGAGACCTTTGTTTCTAATAACATTTGTGTAGTTTACCAGTTGATTTTGTAATTGTCTTTCCCAACAGATTTGTTACAGACGTGTATTTTTAATGGCATAAAGCACTCGTTTGTAGTCCTGATGCCTTTTATAACATCAGACCTTTTAAATAACCCTGCTTTATTATTTGCTATTGTTTATGTAGTCATATAGATATGCATAGCACTCTCTGGGCATAAGAATACCCTATATCTAATGTGTACCAATAATTTTCAGGCACTACTTCAGGACCTCAATACAGCAAGTTCTGGACATCAGCTCAATTATATTTTCAATCTCCTCTTCCTTTAACTAAAGTGGTATTAGATAAAGGAGAGGTGGACCTGCTCTAGTGCTGGAGGATAGTGCAGAGAAAGCAAGGGTCAATTTTCTTTCAGAGAGTGGAAGATGATAGTTTTTGACAGGTACTGTCAATTTCAGCTTTTTGCAATAAAATGGGAAGTGTGTGCAGCATTTTACATCTCCTAAATAGATTACCCAGCATGGACACATACACACACACACACGTCAAAGCTAATGACATTCTTTCTGCTGAGCCTGACAAATTCCAGTCCTAAATCCAAACAAGAATAAATCTTGGCCAAAGATTTTTGCCCACCTTCTGGGGCTACCTCTCCAGGGATCAGTGAAATTTCTCTTGTTCAGCATCCTGAGCTGTAGCAATTAGTGCTATAAACCTTGCGGAGCACACTGTCGGCACCACATAGCAGTCTTGCTCCTAACAGAACGTGTTAAGTGAAGTGCACAAAGCTGACTGCATCCCAAAACCAAAGTCTTACTACAGCATTCATTCATATTAATGTTTTGTGGTTTTGGTCTATGAGTGAGCTCAGATATTTTGCTTGCCGTAAGCATGTTTCAGATCAAGTATTTTAAACGCAGAGCTGAATGTTACCATGTTTTCTGGTTTTAAGGTTTTCCATTCATGACTAATTGGACAACAAGCTAGAGTAGTCAGCCAGAAGAAACCTTGGTAAAGTAAAACAAATGCATCTTTAAAATTTCAATTTCCAATTTGCCATCACAGTATATAAAGACTCTATATGCAATGCTAATTGTAGGTATATTTCTGTGTATATTTGGCATTCCCCTAAAATATAGAGAGATGTTTCCAATGATCAATTACATGTAGTAGTAGTGTAGGGTAGTGTGTGTCTTACCTAATTAGCTAAAATATCCAAGGAAAAAACTATGTATATGAACCTTTGAGTATTGCACTCAGATGTAGGGCTAAATATTTTAGCTGACAGCAACAGAAAAGCAGCTCTCCAGCAGTTGAGGCCTTCTTATACCATTTGCTGACTCCTGAGAAAAAATGAGAGTGGGGCTGTAGGAAATCTAGCCTGTCCTGTCTGTCTTTCTCAAAAGTCATCTGCAATTTTATGCTTTTCTTCAGGCTTCAGGCTTGTAGTCTCTTCGGATTAAGTGTAGATCCTAGCTTTTAATTAAAAGTGTCTATGGTTGTAGAAAAAAAAATAAAAGTGTGAAAAATTTAAATCCAGAAACCAACAATGAAATAATGAAGAATGAGTAAGTGTTTTCAGGGAAGGAGAGGTAGGGGCTCTGACATTGTTTTAAATACTTATTTTGTTTTTTCCCCAGAAAAGGATGAAGTGGCTGATGAGGATTGAAAGCATCCTTTATAGAGAGAAAGGATCTCTGATATCTTTCACTTTGAGATGAGTTCATGGTGCTGCTGAGATGGAAATAAAAGTTCAATATAAAATGTTCCTATCCAGAAATTATTTAGTTATATTATTGCAATTTCATGGTAAAAACAGCTGAGGGAAGGAATGTGGTGATTCTTAATGTTTTACATCTCCACTGAAGGAATTTCTCAATTTAAAAGAAAGATCATTTTCTGTTGAGAACTTTTCTCCTGCAAAATAGAGAAAAAAAATGATAATAGCTGGAGGAAACAGAGCTTTACATTTACAGACATAAAAACAACAGCAACAACAGCAACAAAATCACAGAAGATGTTTTTTAAGCATGGTAACTGTTAGGAAACTTAAATAGAGTTATTCTCTTCTCTCCTTCTGCCTACCAGTTTCTCATTTTGGTAATCCTTTTTTAATTTAATTTTATTTTTTAAATTTTTTCTTATTTTTTTGGAAGCGAAGAGTCAAATCTCTGGGAAGTCTAATAGCATGGTTTACTCCTATTTACCAGCAAGACACATATATGTTATATGTTTAGCAGTTCATGTTAAAGCTAAAAGGAAAAACAAGAAAAAAAAATGCGCTTTTTGCCCGTCTTTGTTAATTAAGTGTAATCAGGCCAATTGTGCTTGGCTGTGGTATAAGCCATATGCTGTCAAGCGTTATGAGACTGGCTAAAGTGGTGGGGAATGAGAGGACTATGAAGTGAGATTGAGCCTGGACAAGTTGGAGGAAAACTGTTTTCCCAAAGTCCTTAAATGTTTGTCTTTTTTTGATTTCCCAGTACTCAAATCAGTAATGGAATATTTCTGCTAATTGGCAACAAATTAGGTTAAATTCCCCAAGTCAAGTCTGTTTTGCCTGCAACAATAGCTAGCAAGTGGTTTCCCTGTCTTTATTTTGACAGATGAGTTTTCTCACCCTTTTTCCTGTTTTCTCCCCTGTTTGACTGTCAGGGAGGAAGTGGAGCCAGCTGTGTGGGTGCTTGTCTGCTAGAAAGGGACAATACACCACAGCATCTGACCCAATTAGGGATGTAAGACAACCATAAATACGAACGGTAGCCAATATTTGATGAGTCTAGAAAAATTTAAGTACTGTGTTAAAATTCTTTTGGAGTATTTGGGAAGGGTTGAGATTTGGCAGGAGATTATGTTTTAGGAGGCTGCACGCATTGCTATTCTGAAATTTAGGAAGCACAGACTCTATTAGCATTTATTTAGCATCTATAATGCTGAATAAAATAGGGCCAGAAACTGATACCTCATCTTAAATCCAAATATCACAGACTTGATCATATCTAGGCTACCTAAGACTAACCTCCACTAGGTGAGAAGGAATTAAAAGGAGCCTAGTGGCACCAGTACACGTCCATACTACACAGTGCTTAGATACAAGTGTCCTGAGAGCCTCAGGTGATACTGCTGTGACCCCAAAACATTATTATTTGAGGGGATATTTCATCTTAATGTGTCTTTTTCCAAAACAGGACTAAGAAATAAACTACCATTGAAGCAACATGAGTGATTGAGTTTCTAGTGCTTGGTTTCATTTTACATCCCTCTCTTTTTGAGCAATATAGATGTAACCTCTATAGGTTCTACAGTTACTGTTTGGAGCCAGAACTTTACAAGTTTCAGCAGGAAGCAGTTATTAGATCCGAATTTTACATAACAATGTGGGATAGAAGATACAGCAGCAGTAGGCGCATTCATTATAATCAATTTCTGTAATTAAATTTGGGTTGTTAAGACATAAATCTGCATGGGTTAAGAAGAATACAGATGTTGTAACTGGGTTTTTACCAAGCTGAATGCCTGTAGGCGCAGCTGGGCCACAAATCTTTGCTGTCCTCAGACACGACTTTCCAAACACTTGCTCTGCACTTCACGTAGGACTCCGCAGTCCTACATAAGGGACTAAACCTGATGCTTGCTTTATTTGCTAGCACCTTGTACATAAAGAAATTGCGAAGATGAAGGGGAAACTGTGTTAAGAGATTTTCCCAGCTGTAACTGGCAGCCCATATGAAGCAGGACAGCAAGGCTCAAGCCTCCTGACCTACCTGAACCCCTTGCTGGACTACTAGGGGATGACTCAGGTTTTCAGCCCAACATCTTTATTGTACTATGGATATTAAGTTGGTTCCTAGTTTTCACCAGCCCTCCAGATTTCACGGTGCCTCATCTGATTGATACAGTACCGCTGGTCAGGTATGTTCTCTGAGAGGATCTGTGTTTTTGCTTAAAAGGATCATGTATTTGTTCTCTTTTCACAAGCTAGAATTAGGAAGATTAAAAAAAAAATAATAATCTGACTGAGCAGAACTGAAAGGTAGAGCTGGAATTTTGTATGACCATCACTTTAGGATTAGCTATTATTAGGATTAGCTGACTATTATTAGTTAGCTATTAGTTTCACTTTTATCTTTCTGTGTACACTCCTGCAAAATTTTAAACCAATAATAAATAATAATAATGATAACGATAATGAACAGCATCGTTCCCCTCCCTCATTGGGAAATTTGAAGTGCTGGGGTAAAAAATTGTCAGAAATATGGCTTTCAGCCAGACCTCTGCTTGCTTATCAGTCTATTCAAAGGTTGCACAAAGTGTTACTTGTATGTTTTATTAGCAAAAATCAGCATTGCTGTCAGCTCATGACTCCACCTCTGATCTTACTCAATGCTGTGGTTCAGATGATCAAATCGAGCCTCAGCTGGAGGATGAATCAGAAAGGAGTTTGTGGATTTGCATGTCCTATGGCTGTGAGTCCAGCTGGGGGTGGGTCTTACAGGGAATTGAAACTTACTTGAAAGAAGTCGGTGTTGGGCTTTTCCCTAGCTTTAGCTGCTCCATTCTGACAAGGATGGCTGGGGTTGGAGGATGGAGGGGAGGCAGCAGGTACAGGACAGCTGCTGCCTCCAGCACCCCATTTTCCTCTCAGGGTTACAACAATCAACCAGAGGCGGCTGGAAAACCCCAGCAGCAGATGACATCTGGAGAGGAGGAAGGGCACCAAGCATCAGCCTACCATCAGCAACAAGAGCTGCAGTAAGTAGAAAGGAGCCTAGGTGAGATTTACTAGGTGAGATCACTTTGCTCAAGGTACACACCTGTAAATGTAGGAATACTTTACAGAGATCCTGTGAAAGGGATCGGGCACAAAAGCAGCATGTTCTCCTGCACTTGGAGAAGCCTACCTACCAGCACTGCTTCCTAAATGGCACCTGAGGTCTTCCAACAGGTTTTGTGACAGTGTGGCTCACACCTGGGGCTGCTTATATGCGATGTGTGCGGACAGCATCAGTGCTACGTGTGATAGCAGCAGCCAGTTCTGTGCGTTTGGTATTGCTGTACATGGCATCTGCTTCTTGGCATCGCTTTCTAACCAGAATTTCAAATCCGGTCCTACCTCCCTGTTTTTCTCTCTACTAATATTTCATCCTGGGAAGTCCAAAAATACTTCCTTTGGCTGCAGAGACGGATGTCGGCTGCGTTCCAGCACTGATCTGAATGCAATCCAGGACATGGAACAGCTTCTAACAACTTCATACTGACAGAAGTAAAACCAAAGCTTCAGCCCTGAATTTCATTTTAAGTTTTACCGGGATCTATGCCCTGTCCACCTCTGGTTTCCTAGTGACAAGCTTAGATACCTTATAAGCTCTAACATGCAAAAATAGTGCAAAACAAAAATTGTCAGTAGCATGTGTGTATTTTGTGCACATGCCTAGCTGACCAAAACTAATTGTTAAAAGTTTTTTTTTTTCACCATTTTTTTCTGAGCTGCTAGTAATAGTGCATGTAATGTTGTTATTGTGCACTGAGTTTGCTTACCTTGCTTTTTCTCCCCCATCTTTCATAATGCAGCTGATGGAAACTGGTTTCACTATCTAAAGGCTGTTTCAGTTTCCTTTCCTTGAAGAAGGAGGAGCCAGGTTGTGCGAGATTTGGCAGACTGCTGGTCATGAGCAGCAATCAGCAGCTTGCCACTGTAACCCGTGAATGACTCTACTAGGTAGTAATAATACATGGACTATTAAGAGCTGGGCTGCTTGGAAATCCTCGAGCACTTTAACAACTCACCTTCAGGAAAGCAAACAGCCATTCTCAAGTTATTCTATGTTTATTTCCTGCCACTTCCAAACATGAAAGACCCTCTGCCTTGCCTTCCTGCACACTGCCATATATCCACATCACAGTGAAGACAGCTCGGGTACTTATCCTATGTACAGTTTTATTTTTTTCTTGGGGTGGGCAGTAGGCTTTTCCCATGGATGTAGCTGTCTTTGCCCAAGGCTTGGTCTGGGGTACAACCCCCTGGTTAAAGTTAAGTAAATACTTAATCAGTTGGTTCGCCTGAGTTCCCTGCAAAATTTACAGCAAGATTAAATATATCCACATAGATTTTGACTAGATAATGGAATCCCTATAAAACTAGCTAAGCTTTTGGGGAAGAATAATTAAAAGTCCTGTTTCATGTTTATATGATACTTGCAGAGGGAAAGCTGGTACACATCTACTACAAGGGCTGCACACAATATTTTTCACTATGTGAGATGAAAGATTCTCTCTGCACATCTTAATAAAGCGGTAATGGTGAATTGTTTCCTAAACCAGGAGTATACAAATTAAAGTCTGCAATATTATGAAGTTAATGAGAAAGAGGAATGAACGAGAATCTGGGTCAAAGAGAAGTAATATGAGTGGCAAACAAACACTCAAAGGAATGAATGAGATTGGGGTTTCCTCGCTACACTTGGGGAGAAGAGCACCAAAGCTGGTGAAGAAACTAGAAACATGAGTTATGAGGAGCAGCTGGGCATCAGGAAGAATTTCTTCATGGAGAGGGTGGTCAAGCATTGGAATGGGCTGCCCAGGGAAGTGGTGAAGTCTCCATCCTTGGAGGTATTTAAGAGGTGTGTGGATATAGCACTGAGGGACACATTTAGTGATAGGACTTGGTGGGTCAGGCAGATGATTGGACTTGAGGATCTTGATGGTCTTTTCCAACTTGTATTATTCAATGATTCTGTGAATGAGATGAAGACAGTTAAAATGGGATTTCTTTAACTAACCCAGATGAAAGTGGTAGAAAGTATCTGAAATGCTGAAGCAGGCAAGAGGAGTCTTCTATTCTTAAAACTATTACATCTGTTGATAAATATTTGTTCTGTTATTTCAAGTTATGTTTCAAGCCAGCTCTCATATTAAAATATCCTTCCAGAAGTGGCAAATCTAACTCAGCCTTTTTGCTCTGGGTCCCTTTGGACGTGATCCTTCAAACTAAAATACTAGCATACCCTCAAAATAGTCCAGGTTTTTAGGCTCAGGGTTAACAAAGAGTTGAACAGAGAAGTTTGACAGCTAATTTTGAAGGGTGGGAGCAGAATTAAAAAACCCACAGACAAGCATTAGTTAAGAAGGCTTTCTGGTATATGTGTAGCAAAGGAAACAAGAGGGGCCCAAGACGGATGCCTCTGTGCCAAGAAGTGGCTCCATTCCAGTCAGTGTGCTGCTTGCTATTTTCCAGAAACAGACAAGATCTGGTCTTGATGCCAACAGAGCAGGAGTCTGAGCCTCTGTTGAAGCCTGTGTGCGAGTAGGGTGTGTGTATGTATGTAGTTTCCATGCAAAGTCTCAGCCTGTGCTTCGGAGCAATTGGAAGTGGGGAAACACCTCAGCAGCATCTTAGTGTGGGATCAGGTGATGGTTCGTGTAGACTGGACACATGAAATCCATGTGAGATGTGACATGTTAAAGCCTCACCCACTAGTCGAATCAAAGTTTACTCTTTCCCCAAAAAAGTGGAAGTTGGGCAACTGGTATTAGATGGTAATTTGTCTCTTGCTTTGGAAAAGCTCTTATATGATATGTTGAGGCTGCGAAGTGATTATAAAGTGGTTCTAATTAAGTTACAAAAAATACTTGTTCAAATGCAAAATTGAAATGAAACTTCACACATCGCCCCCCTCCAGTTCTGTACAAGATGTGGTTTCAGGCTATGAGGAAAAAACACCAGGATGACAAGTGCTTGAAACTGCTTATAATAATAAGCTTGCATTTAAGTTACTTCACTTTGTCTGCTAAGTGCCATGAAATTAACTTGTAGAAAGTGAATTCCCAAATTGCCCCTGTTCATATCTATTCAGAAACAAAAGTCTGTACAGAAGAAAAGGTGGAGGAAAGTGGGGAAATTAGAAGCTGAACTATTGCTGGTGTCTGAAAAAGAAAAAGGTTGTGATAGTCCCTGCCCCCATTCAGCAACAGCAGCCTGTCCATGGTGTCTTTAAACCTGGCAAGAATAATATTGGTCCTGGCAAAATACATTTTAAAAAAAAATCAAATTCAAAGTAATAAAATGTGAAGATATATTGTCACACAGCTGGTAATAGTCCTTTATTGTCCAGTGTGAAAGGAGAGCAGTTACTAGAATGCTTGACTTGAGAAATGTTATTCTTTGACTGCAGGAGCCCAATCCATCAGGGCTTTCTTTCCTTCCTTTTCCAATCTTCATCCTGAATTAAAAAGAAAATCTATAGTGTTGTAGCACCTCTTAATCTTTTGCTGATAGAGTGTCCTTAGCAGTTCTTAGGAAAATTATTTTGTTTCACAATCTGAAATTTCTGCTTTTTAATAACTCTGAATTGGCCTATTAAACTAGAAGAGGCTTCTCTAAATGCTTGCTTTGTCCACTGGTGGTACTGGTGTATGTGTAATCTGAATTACAGACAATTTGTTTAGAGTTGACCGCTGTATTTGCTGCACGGGACAAAATCTCCCAGCTCTGTATCTTTCAGGGTGATGTACTAATCTTTGCAGCACGGTGGGGCGATTCAGAGATGCCTGGCTTTGGTGTTGTCAGTAGCCAGCCCTATCTCCAGTCAAGCCTTCAGTGGCTGAGTCTAAGTAGGAGGATAGCTATGCAGTAAGATTTGGGGACTGTCTGACCTGCTCAGCTCTCCAGGTGTGCTGGCAAGCACAATTCGCAACACACAGATGCCTCTGTGGGGCTTAGCTCAGCTCAGCACTGATGCTGCCAAGCACAGTGCCTGGCCTGTCTCAATATAAAAGCTCTGTGCTGTTGATTTCCAGGTGCTCCAGCTGACTCTGGCACACTCAACGCATCCCTGGCACTGTGCTGCACTAAGGCAAATGAATTATTTGGGGACAGCATAAATACAAGTGCGTCTGACAGCAGGGACTTCATGGACTTTGTTGGGTCTAGTGTTTGATTTTCTGTTTATTTGGGTTGGAAAAGACTTTTAAGATCCCCAAGTCCAATCATCAACCTACTGAATCCCATCACTAAATCATGTCCCTCAGTGCCATGTCCATACATCTCTTAAATACCTGCAGGGATGGGCACTCCACCACTTCCCCGAGCAGCCTGTTCCAATGCTTGACCACCTTTTCCGTGAAGAAATTCTTTATAATGTCCAATTTAAATCTCCCCTTGTGGACCTGCCATTATTCCTGTGGTGCTATCACACACCAAGTGCAAAGCAAACTGCTGAGTCTTAGCTGGGAAATTCACTTCTGAGTTTCTGTTTTACTCTTTGGACCTGATTTTAACTTTGGGAAGTTCTCTAGCAGCTTCTGAGAGTTGAGATTTGAGTGCAGGGCTGTTGCTTTACTGCTTGTTTCTGACTCAAACCTTCTCCCGGGCCTGTCTCTGCTGCTGTTTTCCTTCTCACTTGTTCCCAGTGCAAGTTCACATCTCCAGAATTTAACTCTTTGTTTTATCCTTAGGCCTCAACTATAGCAAAAATGTTGTTTTAATGAAAGCTTTAGCTAAACAGAGGGACCAGATACAGAAGTGAGTTATCTTAGTTTAATAAGCTTCCAGACATCAGCTGAACTGTGGTAATTAAGTGCACTTGTAGCCTGTGGCAAGTACAGGACAAAACCCATGAACATAGATTTTCAGTGGTAAACCTTTTCTGCTAAAAGCAGTTTATTTTCGGTCTCTCATGTTAAGAAAGCTAGGATGACTCAGGCAGTGTATAATGTTAAGCCCCAGTAATTCACTTTTGTGTCTGAGCTGCAAACTGGTAAGATAGTGCTGCTCATAGAGATGGAAAGCCAAAGCCCCAAACCTCCAAGCAAGATTTCTACATATGGGTGCAAAGCGTATTGCACGACTGAGGTCAAATGCTAGGGCTGTCGGTTATCATTAGCTTGTGCATTGCAACATACAGGTACCTACAGGACACTTGTCTGCTCATTGAGGTTTGGAGTCTTGTAGTGGCAGCTTTCATAGTGTTTAGCAGCATATGGGCTGCTCCATCAGGCATAGGAGCCTCAGTGAAAATATTTTGTGGTGGTGTTGACTTGACTATTCTCAAACAACTGCTGGTAACTGGATGCAAAGTTCAGCACAGTGTGTCTTTGAAGAAGATTTTATGATTGTCCTTGGCAGTTTGCTCCTTTTCTTCTTCTCTTAAAGTCAGCCAGTCTTAACATATTGTTTAATGCAGTATTTCATTTGTATCTTCGGCCTTAAGCTTATATATTAAGCACATTTAAAAAAAAGGAAAAGGTATGCATGCATATACCCACAGTCATGCACATAAATGTGTGCAAGTACATGTCTACATGCCTGTGTACTTTTCCTTTGTGCTTCTTTTTTCATTGATTACAGAATATAAATGAACCTTTTCCTTTCAGTGGTTCATATGCAGATGTATTTGGAGCCCCACGAGGGTTCCCTTCAGTCCTTCCTCTATACTAAACCTTCCTTTTTTTTTTTCTTTTTTTTTTTTTTTTCACCAAGCTTTAGTGGTTTGTGTTGCTCTCCCCTGCACGCTCCTTGGTTTCTGGCTCTTATTGAATGCAGACAGCACATTGCCTAGCAGAGCGAAATATTTAGCTTTCAGCTTTGTGGCATTCATGTACTGATGCACCAGCAATATAAAACACAGTGGAACTGGAAATAGTTTATAACAGCCATTACTTTTGTAACTCTTTAAACTATTTCACACTTCATTTGGAAGGCTCCCCAGTGGTAGCTGGCTGGAGTGGGCTCGAGGAAAAACTGAAGGGCACAGCTCTGCAAAAAACATTATTGGTGAACAGCAGTTCTCATGTGTTTATTCAACTTCAGAAATAATCTATTTTATACAAACCTAGAAGAAAGTCGCGGAAAGGCTATGCCCTGAAAACATTGAAGGCTAGTCCTTGAGTAGCGTGAGTTAAATGTGTCAAGTCGCCCACAGGCTTACAAATTTAAGATTGCAGACATGGTTGCTGCTCAGTGTTGCTGATAATTCAAACTGTAAGCTATCTTTGCAGATTTTCTGTGAGGGTATTGTATGTTTCTCCTGATTGAAAGATTTTTCTATCTATTTGTATATATTGCTTTATAGGTATTAATCTTCTTATTATTGAGATATTTGATGTCTATGTGTTTGAAAACTCATATGAGGTTGCTTTTTGAGTTTTATTCCAATACAGATGCATTCTCTTATTGGGTTATAACTTTTTCACAATAGTTAATATTTTCTCAGTCTGAGTAATTAGGCAATACATTCCCCTTTTCTGTGGGAAAAAAAAAATAACCAAAAAAGTCTTATCAAGATTAATATGACTTATAAAGGTTGAATAGGGTTTGTTTCTCTTTTATGAAGAGCTATATCCTGGTAAGATGTTCTTCCCACTCCCAGTGACTTCCATATTCGTATTTATAAATCAACCATACCTCAAAGATAGATTTAAATCATAGAACAGTAAGAATCATTATTAGGGAACCTGAAAAGCAAAATTCTCTGTAATCTTTTCAACTTCACTTCATGTATTGGTATAAAGTACAAAAAGTCTGCACACTGCTGGTAGCTTAAAATCTTCACATTTCCTTAATTGCTATCCTGGTAAGTAGGATAATTTACTCCAGACTTAAAGCTGCAGTGGCAACTCAAAAACTGCCTGAAATATTAAATTGACAGGCTGTAGCATTTTCTATAGGCTTTACTGGATCAGAGGTTCTGTCTGGACAAAGTACTAATTTGCAGTATCCCACAAACTGGCTAAAACATGAATTGAAAGCTTCTGGTGGATTTTTTACTTTCTTTCCTTAAAAATATAAATAAAAAATAAAATAAAAATCAAGAAAATGAGGGACAGTCAGTGTGGATATGAATTTAGCTTTAGAACCAGTAGGCAGGTAGAATCTATTGGGCAGCAGCTCATCTGGTTCCTCCTGTGGCTGCAGATTTGAAAAGCAAGGATGGGTTCAATCCCTGGCTTTCACCCATCCCATGGGAATCTTACTGTATGTTTGCCCTTCCTTCTCCCAGTCCCAATACCCCATGTTATACTCTGACATGTCTATCTTTCCAGAGAGACCAAGGTGAGCACTATCGAAATAGATAAGCTCACCAATGCTTATATACATGTATATACATATATATATATGTATGTATTACTTTGGCCAAAAATAGAGCATGTTGTATAAATACTAGGTAAAAGAAAACCCAAAGTATCCTGTTCTCCTTTTTATTCCTGAACCAGAGATTTTAAATCCTCATTTTATTTTAACTTTGCTTTTATTTCAATAACATGGAAACCAAACCTGGCTTTAAACAAGCACTCTTTTAACCACAGTGACTCTTACTCTTCAGAAAACAAAGCTGGGCTGTCTCTAGCAGTAGGTCTAGTTTCCTGTCACTGGTCTCACTTCTATCCCTTTAAAGAACTGATTGATCTTTGTTATATTTCATGTGCCATCCTTCTGAACTCCTGGATAATGGCCATGGGCAGATATCAGGAGAGTGGCCCCACCTTGGCCTCCTTCAGCCAAAACGCAAAAGCAGATAAAGAAAATGATTCATGGCACAAAGGCTATCGTGTTATAAAGCCTAGAGCTGATATCATGGTTCTTAAACATGTGCAGATACACAGAGCTCCTCGTTGTCTTTTTAATTGAATTCCTAATTTAGAAAAAAAAATGTCATCAAGGTACATCTAATGATATAAAAACTCTTCTGCCCCTTATGCTACAAATCAGTGGGATGTCTTAGATGCAACAATGTTTTTTGAGGGGAGAAGTATATAGTCTTGCAACTTAACCATTCCAGCCATATTTTTTTTCACTGACAAACAGATGGCAGTGTAAAAAGTATGCAATAATTTTTGTGTATGAATTTGAGAGAAATATGATATGAATACCTGAAAAAGCCAAGAAAAAAAAAATACTTATTGAAACTGACCAGCTGTACAGCAGCTCGTTGGGGCAGTAATGGAGAACATTATGCTAAAGCATGCAAAGGAAGATAGGTTGTCAAAACTTCCTTAAGTAATAGTTGAAATTGTGCAATGATGCTGGAAGGGCAATGCTGCTACCTTGCTCCTGCCTCTGAGGGCCTGGGGTTTGGTGGAGAGGCGAGGAACAGTCTCACTGGGCGCCGGAGGAAGCAGGCAGGCAGGGAAAGGTCCACATTAAAATGACACCATTAAAGCTTGCAGCTCTGTCTTTGCTAGTTTAATCTCACAAATTAATCCACATCCTCCTAGAACAAGTCTTCAAAGAGAAAGAGGTAATTGGATATAAATGCTTTCCTTCCCAAATGCCGAATTACAGTGATATGGCAGCAGGCGGCTTTTTGCACTTTGATCTCCTTGCATGATTTTCATTCCTCTTTTTAGCCTTTGTCTCAGACCTCCTTCTCTCATTACTTTTCCACAGCCAACCGAGCTCTCTCTCCTTCCTAGCTTGTCCTCTAGCCCTTTCTTCTTTCAAGGGGCGCAGTTTTCATCTCTCATTAGTCTTTGTTTTCTGCTCTTCTCCTTCTGCCTTCCCAAAGATAACATCAAATAAAATACCAGTGCCCACGTGTGCATCTAAAGCTGTGCCGAACGCTGCAGAGATGTGAGCACACTCTGATACGTGGAGCCAACCTCTGCTCAGTGCACGGCTGGTGAACCTGCACCCCTGTGGCTTTGCTTTTGCTGAGGTGGAGTGCAGGCAGTGCAAACTCCTACCCACACAGTATACCTTGTAGATTAAAAACCTTTGTTTCCTCCGAGTGAAACTGACATGTTTTCATCACTCATTTGATCACCTCCAGTCTCTAATACACTCCGAGCCCTGTTCTGTTTCTTTGCTGTCACGCTAGATTGATAGCTCTTTGAGACAGCAACTGTGTTTTGAATTCAGCCTAACAAAACAGGGCCTCAGCCCTTATTCAGTGTGTCGGACCTGAGGCGTGACAGCAAAATAAATATGCCTGAGGAATTCCTGGTTCTGGAGAAACACAAATCTGACAAGGAAACTGAGGCTTGGTCAGGCAGCAAGTCACCTAAGTCCATGACAAACAATGTGCCTTTGAATTTGTGAGGAGTTGAGTGCCATCAAGGCATGGGGTGGGTCTACCAACACCAGTGCTGTTCCCTATAGACAGTGTGACCTGTGCTTGAGCAAGCCCTACTGGAAAACACCAATAGCGCCGCTGGGGAAGTAGTCCTCTACGAAGAGGAGCTTCTTGATTTGAGGAAGTGATTTGATTTGAAACAGCTGAGATTTGAGGTCTGCAGTCTAGAGTGAGACTTAATAAGAAACGTGGAGACTGGGCTAAGAGTTTCTGAAAATATTATACTTGGTATTCACTGCCAACTGCAAATATAACTGTATTCCTAAAATATTTACCAAAAATACCTGAAGACCTGAATCAAAGTAAAAACTGGTTCTGATATAATGTTTTTGTTGTTGTTGTTGTTGTTGTTTGTTACAACAGCAGAACACTGACCTTGCTGATGAAGAAAACCCCTTCCAGTCCAATTGTTTTTCTGTAGACAGGAAAAATAAGACATTGTTTTCTTTCATTCTAGTGTCAGCTCGTACGTTTTGATAACTCCAGATGAAACCAGAAGAAATCAGTTGCAACAAAGTAAGTTGAGATGTCTAATGCATTATTTCTACTTGAATAAGTTTATTTTTGTGTGTGTTTTATCACCCTTGCAACTTTTATCTGCATCCTTTCAATACTTTTATGTCTGCAGCTGTAAGTATAAAGCCAGGGCTATGAGCCTTTGCCATCACCCTGTAGGCTTTTCTCAAGTTCAACTTCTCATCTGGCTAAACTGCACGCATTGTAAGGCTTCTTTGGGAACAGGTTTTTGGTAATAGCAGTGCTGTAGCTGCTCAAGCTGACTTGTACAAGACTCATCTGGAATTAACTCAACCCTGCATTTGTAGGATTGAATTTAGATTGGGGAACCCAGCTTTGAACACTCTTCAGGTTATGGGGAGGAGGAAGAAAAATACAAGAAAGAAATATTTTTGAAAGTGCTCTCATGTGGAAGCTAAAGCAACTAGATCCACACCATCTGTTGTTTCCTGAATCCCTGCTTAAAGATTGTATATGGATATTTAATGAAGGTGGGAAAGATTTTAGATAGCAAAACACCTGTAGTTATATAAGGTCACTTTTGCTTGGCTTCAAGTCTTACTGGTGAATGTAGGTAAGCAGGAACATCCTGAAGCTGTACAAGAAAGAATAGGCATGTGTTAAAAGTCTTTCACTGGCCAAAGTTACTACAAAAGAGCCATGAAAATAATTCTGTGTACAAACATAACAAAACACTGCAGTCCTGCACTCCTGGCTGTTTATTTGTGTAGAATATGACAGCTGAGGGAATGTCAGTCAGCACTCCTCAAGTTTTGAGCCCTCAAGTAAATAATGCAATTAAAGCAATTCTTCTCAAACATCATGAGTTTGGCTGAAATGCTCTATGAGCAGCCTATCATGGGGTGGGATTTCCTTTGGTTGAAAGAAAATGGACTTTCCCTGAACCGAACCATAATCCTCTGGAAGGAGGAATAAAAGCAGGTCATCTTATAGGTGATTGACTCTAAGCAGATAGGTCCTGCTGCCTTAGTAAAGGTCTGTTTGACTTTGTGCAAGGTCTCAAGCATGCAGAGTGCTTCCATTTTCAATATTCACAGAAATGGGGCCTCAATGAATCCAATCCCAACCTAAGGGCTTGTTTTAAAGCTGAAATAAGAAGCTGGTGTCAGTCTTGGGGCTCTTTAGAGACCTGCCCATGGACTGGCTTTATCATGTTAGAGAAGAACTGGTGCTAGCATCTGTTAGCTGTAGCCTGGCATTAGATAATACGGTTCATGTGTTTAGTACAAGTGAGTAACTGAGGTACTACTTTAAAACACAGCTCATTTTCTCATGCATTTTGTGGACTTTGTTATGAAATGAATTGCCTTTTTCTCTGTCAGTTAAATCTGGGGAACAATTTAATCAACCAGCCATCTTAGAGCATAGGGCTGGCTCCACAAATCTCCCAATGCCTCTGGCTGCATCGACTGGATTTCCAATGAATACACTGGGAGCTTGGCACCCAGCTCATCTGCAGACATAAATGCTGAAGTGTCTTAATTTGAAGCTGAATTGTGCATACCTCTTGTTTTTATTTAAGAAACAGGGTCAGGAGGGAAAAAGTATTTACCATATGGTTTTAAGTTTACAAAAATATTTGCCTCTCCATCTGATTGTTCCAGTGACTGTGTAACCTCTTGCAGGGGTGTCTGAATGCCTTCAGAAAAAGTGGGTGTGTTCCTAGATGAGTCTTCACTGTCATACACAGCTAAAGACACTATGTGCTTTTTAGGATGGCTTCTAACTTCCACGTTATTTGTTTCTTTTTGTACCTGTTCAGTTGCTAAGAAAGAGCTAGATGAGCTGGAGCGCTGGAAGGAAGAGCACAGGCTAAGGCCAATTAAGTTGATTCCACAGAGACTGGGTAAGACATTTAAATCAGCTATTATGAATTGGAAAATCCGTACTTTTTGTTTTATGCAATACATATTATATATGCTCACATACCCTTTACGACATAAGACATCTTTCACTGTTTTTCTCTTATACTACTTATTAAGGAGATTTGGTGTTAACAAGGGCTGACACGAGCCTGCTGTATGCGCTCTGTGCTTTTTGATGGTCATGACAATGAAGATGTTTCTGAAGCAAAACAGCACAGAATGTCACTCAAGAAATTTGTCAACATCAGTGTAGAAAATCTATAGTTACATTTGGGAAAAAAGAGGTTGATGAGCCCTTCCGCTGGTAATATTGATTGGTTGATGTGTCAGAGGGGCTGCACGTATGGCATTAGCATGCAGGTGGACAGCATGTATTGGAGACCCTCTGGTTATCCATAAAAAAAACTCCTCTGTTTTAGGGGACAGTATACATGCTTTCCTGATTTCTGGCTCCTGAAGAGGTAAAAGTGATCCCTGAAGCTTCAGGCATTTGCAGGCTACACATGCATGAGGCTCTGTATTACCAGTTTTATAAAAAGTAACTACAAGGGTAGGTAAATGAAAAACAGGAATACAAAGCTGCATGAACTTAGGTCATGCTGAATTGAGCTGATGTGTCTGATAAGATAACCAACCATTTTTTTTTTCTAGACAAGTGAGAGGAACTGTAGTAGATCTCTTCAACTGTAACCACTATAAAGCATTTACTATAGTGCTTTGGGACAGTTAAGGTTTTGCTTTTTTGTTGTTGTTGTTGTTTGTTTTGTGTGTGTGTGTGTTTTAATTAGAAATTGAAAGAAAAAAGCCAACAACCCACTGTTAGTTTTCTATAGAGAATAGGGTTGCAGGTTGTGCTACAGCAAGGAGAAGGTTATTAGAAATGCTTTCAGGTATCAGTCTTCAGACCTATCTTGTTTTAATATCTTTCTTTAATGTCTTTGGCACAAAAGGTAGGAGCAAGCTGATGAAACTTGCTGACAAGACAAAAGTTGAAAGCATCATTCTTATAGAACATGATGAAGATATTGAGCAGCAAAGTGGGATGACCTTGAGGGCCTGCATTAGTAGAAATGGGGCAAAATTCATTATGACAAAATGAATGATTATAATGATGCCTTTATTAGTTTTATAAATGTAGAGCTCCTCTTCCTTCTTTTGGCTGTTGTAAGGGTTTTGGGGGTGTACGCTGCAGGTTATTGTCTGCCTTGACCTCCTGGGAATGAAGCTGGTAAGCCATGCTACCCAAGATCAGTCCGGAGTGGCTCTGTGCACATAAAAATTGATACCAGGTGGGAGATTTCAGATTCAGAAATCTGAACTGTCTTTAACCCAGATTTGTTTCTGGAGTCAAGGTGATGCTGGTCCCAGTTCCAGCCTGAGTCCCAGCTGTTGGCAGTGGTGATCCTACCTCTGCAAGTTGGTGTCAGGCCTTGTGTTTCCTCTCCCACATGTGGCCAGACGTAGTCTTGGTGAGCTCATGTGTACCAGCTGCTTCCTACCTGTGAGCAAGTCCTAGAAGATATGCTTGTGCCCCAAGAGGATCACAAAGTTTATTGCTGAAGAAAGTGAGATCTGAAAAACAGAAAGTTGGTGTGTGGTGTCTGCTCAGGAAGTGTGCAGGCTGGCTGCGTGGCTGGGGACGTGGTGGGAAGCCTGCAGTGGATGTGGGGAGCCTTAACTTCCCTCTGATCTCACTGCATTTAAAAACTTCCCAAGGAAAGAAGTGAATTTAAAAAAATAAAGAAAAAAAAAAAGATGAAAAAATAAAAATAAAAGAAAAAAGCTTCTGAGAGAATTCAAGGAGGTTATATGAACTCTTCAGTCTCCATCTAGCTGCCACTTAGAAAGACCCCTGGAGACCGAGACACATGCACTATGTTCAGTGTTTCTGCAAAGAGGAAAGGTGCAAAGATTATTAGATCTTAGCATTCCCAGAGGAACAAATTTGGAACAGAAGAGAGCTCAAGGAGGGAGAAAAAAAATCTAGCATCTCTAATTTCACAACTGTATGTACTCATTAAGGTAAAAAAGTATCCAATGTTATTTTCTCAGAATGAGTTTAAGAGACTACCCATCTAGTCCAAATCACCAGAGAATTCTTGAAGTTTCTTTACACTTGTGCTTTCCATAGGGAAATAAGTATTCTGGATTTCAACTCTGCAGTATTTGACTGGCAAACTTTCAGGTACCGTGGAGGGATGAGAGCAATGAATGATGCAAGTGCCACCCTCCTCCATAAGCAATGAGTGGAGGAAAAAAAAATCATGCCTGTTAAATGCAATGGCCTTTTTTTCCATCATGCTGTATAAATTTGTCCAGTCATAACACAACCTGACTTCAGTGAAACATTTGACAGATTACAGTCTAACCAACTTGAAGGAATTAAACCTGGCTGAAAAGCTGTAGGCAATGGCAATTAATGATAAGTAAAATACTTATTTAGATCTGATATCTAGCAATACATGCAGAAACAGACAGTGAACACAAGTGTGTTAAATGTTGACAACAGCAGGTTAGAAAGAAAGAAATACCAAGCATCTGGAAGGTTTCAGAAGTTGTTTAGTAGCAATTTTATTTCCCAGACTTCACGATGCCAGCCGTATGCTTGTTGCTACTGTAAGCTTGTTGCTTGTATCCTGCATGGCCAGTCATTCTTGAGTGCTCAATCCTACAGAGTTTTTTGTGTGCATGAGAATGTTTTTGTGCTTAGGGAATTGATCTCCCACTTGCTGAACCTCACAAAGTCACGTAAAGATTGGCTGTCTTCCATTAGTAAGGGGAGAACACTACTTTTAGTCAAGGGTGATCCATCCTAAAGGATCTAGCATGGTTGTCTTATATTTCAGGCACCCCAGGTAGCACAGATTGGTCCACCTGATCATATTGAAGTAATGGTCATATAGTGGGGAATTTCGCAGAAAATCAGTAGGTGTAAATATAGCCCTCATCCTCAGAATGGAGTGGGGACTGCTGTTGTTTTTACTGTTTGTTTGCTTGTTTCCAACAACCAAGGGAATAAATTATTGGGTTTCCTACAGCAAGAAAATACTTCAGAATATAATAGAGCAGAATAATTGAATCAAAAGCACTCCTTCCCATCCCTTGGTTGCTACTAGCACTTTCTATTTGTTCTGCTTTCTTTTTTTTTTATTTTTTATGTTTTTATTGGAAGCCTGAACATCATGGCCAGAGGTCTAGATAGTCTCAGTAGAGAGTCTTTGCCTCTGGAAAGGACACCTTCTGCTAGCTGGATATGAATATGAGGTCTGTGGAAAAGGTTTTGATTTCCATTTCAGAAAGCAGATCCTTCCTCAAGCCTCAAGACATTGCTAAGAAGATCCTCAAATGATAGCATCCCATTAAAGCTGGTAGAAACTCCAGGCTCCTAAACTTGATAAAAGAGAAACTCTTGGCCAGTAAAGTTTTTGATTCAATATGTGTGCATGATAAACTGAGCAAAGGTAGGGTGAGCTAGATCTGAAAATCAAGACTCATCTGCAAAGCATGACTGATCTTCTGAAAATGGAATAGGTCCTCAGTAAACTGATCATATACAGTAGGATATATTTGCTGGTAGAGTGGATGATACAGTGGATGCTCTGCAAATAATAAGCTAGTGCTTTTGACGGATGGATAAAATGATCAAAAAGGTCTCCTGCCCATTCTCTTTAATGTCAGACAGCTACTGTAATTATGAAAAATTTTCTGTAGATGCGTACATTCAATTTGTTATATTGCTCTGTTCAGAAATGACTGGCATTTTAACTTTAAATGCTCATGCAAAATGCAATTTATACTTTTTTTTTTTTTTTTTAAGGTGGAAAGGAATCAGAGGCTGAAGCAAGACAAAAACAGCAAATGATGCTCGTGCAATCTAAATACCAACAAAAGGTCAGGAAGAATAAATTTGTTTGTTTATATCAGGAATCCAAAAAAGGCTTTTCATGAAGTGTTTCATATGGCTATAAAATGAACTCACAGCTGCTCAACAAAAGAATGTCATGAAACCTGAAGGAACAGCAGAAAACTAGAAACAAATGATCTTCACCAAAGAAAATGAGAAATCTGCCCATGAATATGTATCAAACTATCACAGATCATATCTAAAATGATAACCAGTACAGTTGTAAAGACACTTATAAGCCTTGCTGTATCTTCCAGCGTGCTGCCTACTGTTTCACTAATTGATCAACATACCACCCCCATCCAGTGCTAGGTAGTAGATGTGTTGTTCCCGTTATGAAAGGTATAAATGCTTGTAAGTTATCAATCATCCATGTGATTCCTTGCATGGATGCCCATTCATCAGTCACAGATTTCTCAGCCTTTCCAAAGCCAATATTGGAGCAGCAAGTTACACAGCCTGCTTTATTCAATGTCTCTAAGAAAAAAATCTGGAAACTTTCATCAAATACACTCCAGTTTTGAAAGACATGGTACAAGAGTCATGTTACCTTATGTGTTCTTTTTATGTACATATGTAAAATATTTTTTAATTTTAATTTCATACAGTACAAGAGAGAAGAATACATGAAAGCAAAAAAAGCAGCTGAAGAAGCTGAAATCCTGAAAAAGAAAGCAATTCAGAGAGAAAAGGTAAAACATGATTACTGTAGATTCAGAACCAAATAGCAAAGTTTATTTCTTGATGCTTGATTTTGCTGAACTATGTGAAACAGGCTCATTAAATGAAATGGTAGTCCTGGATAACATCAGGGAAACAGGAAATCCAGTCCTCCTTCTCATAGTAGCTCACTGAAGAATATCTGGCCTGGTTTTCTTTGGGGTTTGTGCCTTCCTTTGGTTCTTCAGAAACTCTAGCTTTGTGTTTGCATGCAACCTGGAGAGTTAGTAGAGAGAAAGGGATAACACTAGGGTAGGGGCAAATGTTGTGACTAGTGATACAGCTTATACAGTTCACTTTGGCATGAGCTTTCTCTGTAAGATCCGATTGTGGCAAGTGGCACAAAGACTACAGAAATCCATAGCTGCTTGCTGTACACACAGAAAGAACAAAAGAAAACCCAGCCTGTCATGGTGGAAAAGGCATCCAAACATGAAAAGGTCATTATAGTCTAACTGCATTGTGCTGACTGCCCCCTGAATTCCTAATGCTTCTTCAACCCCTCTGTGGCTTGCACACTCAGGTGCATAGCTTAAATGTAATATCTCTTTTCCTTCTAGTTTTAACCATATATCCATATATTGACACCAGCAACAGCTCACTTTCAAGTCATCAGTTTTATTTTGCAAGTGTTTGTCTTTCAGTTAGTTATTCCCACAAAGCATTTTCTCATACTGTGTACTTTATAAACCTTTGTAAAAATTCATTCATTTCTCCTTGGTGGAGACAAAGTAGCACTTGGTTGAGAATGTACCATTTTTAAACAAAACAAAACAAAACAAAACAAAAAGAGGAGGGGGAGCATGATGCTGATGTTTATGATAGTAATGAGGGAAAGGGAAATTTCAGGTTTGCAAGTTTTGTCTCCATAACAATAAAAATGATCTTCTGTGCAGAAGCTGAAAGCTGAGTTAATTCCCAAATCATCGCTACTGGATTGCATACAAGGAGATGCATAAACAAAAATAGCCTTAATTGCCTCTAGATGAAGCTTAGTCTGTTCCCCGTCTTTTAGTGGTTAGCATTAATCTTTGTGAAAAAGCCCATACACAATAACTCGCAGGGGCAATAAATAGTACCATCTGAAATGTTTTTAACAGTTACCAGCTCATGTATAGCTCCAGAAGCAGTGATGATAGCAATGGTAGAAAGGGGATTAATTATATTTTATTCAGCTATTAAATATATGTTTTTTGCCCATGGGCATTGGACAAGAAGTTGTTGCAAGACTGCAATAACTTCTAGTTACACCTAGAAAATATATTGATATATCGGTTTTGTTTTCATGCTCTTTAATTTCCTTACCTTCACACCGACAGATTATAAAATCTTTATAGGTGTTGCAGATAATAAAACTGTAACTATCAGTTTCTTCTAAAGAAGAGTGCAACATCATGGTGAACATCTTTGCCAAACAAACTGTTTAATTTGAATAAATAAACCTACTCCCACAAAGCAAGCAAACAAAACTGAGAAGCATGAAGGGGAACTCTGAATCTGAATTTGTTTATTTGTGTTGTCTACCACAGTAGTAATTGAGCTGATGAAGATTTCTGCTTGGAAGACATTAGTATATTAAAAAGGCAACTCTGTGGTTAAGAAAACCATGCTAGAAAGCCACTGAAAGATGTTGATTTGCATATCTCACCCAGATTATCTCTCACCCCGAGAGCTAGACATGACAGAAAGGGGATCCTAAAGATCTAGTGCTTTAGGTGCTGGTACTATAGGCTAACACAGGAGGCTAATACAGGCTAAAACTTTTTCTTTTTTTTTTTTTAAAGTCATAGATTTGTAGACCACTGAACCAAAGGGTATCGGCTGAGAGAAAGTCTTTCTGCAAATTCACAAGCCGCCTTCTTCCTGGCCAGTCCTTCTTTTGCTCAAGGTTATAATTCTTTCAACAACGACAACAAAACAAACTGATGGTCTGAAAGGCTATCTGCCTTTATTGTCAGGGACCCTGAAACTTCCACAGTTGGAGAGCTACTCTGCCAACAAACTTGAATGGTGAAGCCCTACAGACTAATGTGTCATGACAAGAACAGGTGCTGGTGCTCAGCTCAGTTCTCCCGTGACTCTCAGGATGATGTGCTGTAACCCAATGCTGCCTGTGAACCTAGGAGCTGTTTATGTCAATAATTAAATACTATTTTTTTCAGAGAAAAGCAACATCCACTCTTCCTTTATCTTTGTGACCAAGAGAAAAATGGGTATTTGCCTAAGCTGTACCCAAATGTGGAAGGTCTGTGTGACCACGTGTATGAGTCCACCTGCCTGTCTCTGTTGTTCTTTAATTAACCATGAGGGTAGATGCTGGAATAGCAACACTCTTGGCATCAACCTTCTCTCTCTCCAGCTGCCAAAGAAAAGAAGGGGGATCCTTCCCCCACCATTCTATATACCACAAGACCAGTCTCTGTGTGTAGCATTGAGCAGGGATTTGGGATTACTTTTGCTCTATGTCAGCCATATCGTCCTGGGACTGCTTTGATTTGTTCATGGGGTAACCCAGGGTTGCATGAGTTCGTCTTTTCCTTTCGCTTAAGCTAGTGAGCTCTGAGTGCTCACAGAAATAATTTTGGAGAGATTTTGTAATGTTAGCAAGGGAATTCCTATTTCTGTATTTCTCCCTAGTGCTGAGATATGTGTCTGATCTGCAGACAGTGTGGGAGTACGGGAGAAGCAGTGTTGTTATTTGCTCATTAGTAGCAGGCATCTGCAGCTTGGTGTCTTTTGTACAGTTTTCACATGACAGATTTTGACCAGACTGAGCTATAACTTACTTTGAGTCTTTTGGATGAAAGGACTGTCAAAATTCCCAAGAAAATAAACAAGTGGCTGATATTTGGCTTCTTGATTTTTAAGCTTTCTGTATACCAAATAGCGTAACTTCAGTGTGCTGCATGTTTCTGTTTCCTGTCATTCAGCCTCTGTTCCTGTTATCCTACCTTTAGCCTTTCCTGTGTATATTCTAAATGTTGACTAAATATGAAAAGGTTAGAAGATTTGAAGTAAAAAGGCTGAGTGTAATTTTACTGAATGCCACTTTCTCACTTCTACTCTTACATTGCATAGTAACGATCCTGCCATCTTTAGAAACTGTCCTGTTTAGAACAAACTGTAATTTCATTTTATTCTTTATCAAATCATGTGCTCTTTAATTTGACTGTGTTAATCATCACAAATGGCCTTTTTCAGGAATTTGCTAAGACCAGGCACTTTACAGACCTTCTGCTAATGCTTTTCAACATGTTTACCTTCAATATCACAGCTGTTCCACGTTTGGCTTTGTTTTTGAAGACCATGCCAAATGTGAAGTGCTCTGGCAATGTCTACTGATAGATTGTCATTAGTTAGAGAATGTCTGAGTCCCGTTTCCCATCATTTGTATGCATCCTAAGCAAGGGTCCCAGGGTAAACTTCCGTAATAGGAAGCAGTTGCACCAGCCACCAGTAAGTAATTTGAATATGCCGGGATTTTCTTCAGGCAGCCTCCTGGTGGGAGAACAGCTGGAGGATATTTCCTTCTTTTTTATCTAGTGGATATGATACTGAAGGATTATATTTATTACTGTGTTGTCCTATCTCGGAGATAGAGCAGGGCAACTCCAGCGGGCTTTGGATTTGAACTTAAAGAAGGCCTGCAAGATGGTCCCATTTCAAATGGTCTTTCAGAGGTGAAGGCACCAGATTTCATTGTTGAGCAGTGACTGTGAAAAGTCTGGGAACTCACTGATGCCATGAGGGTATCAGCATCACCTTTGCCAACAGTAGATGCCGTCGGATTCTTTGTCTTTCCTTTCTTCCCTTGTAAGTTAAGCTGCACAGATGGATGGGAATCTTCTGCCTAAAAAATCATCAGTCTCTGGATGGATGGGATAGGAGCAAATAAGCTATTCTTTAAGCAGTCAAAATTTACTCATATTGTGGGGCGATATGCCTTACTTTAATTTGAGTTTTCTTTTAGTTATGTCAGTACTTCATACATTCTATTACTGTCTCGACATCCCAACTGCCTGAGCAACAGGACACCTTATTCAGAGATTTGTCTTTGTTCTTTTGTTTAATTTCCCATTGCCTTTTTCCAAATAACAACCTCTAAGTCATTTGTCTTTCAACAGTTTATATCATTGTTACACAACACAGTGGCTCTTTTCCTGTCTGCATACATCTGACAGGATTTTTTTTCTTAATCCAACACATGCTGAGAAGGAATTTGCACTTGTTAGGCAAATCTCTTCCAGACAGTCATTCTTTATCCAATTAAAAAATACCCACCCTGAAATCACTGAAGGCAAAGTAATCGAGTGACTGGCAGTAAATTGCAATTTTTCTGAAATGCTATTGATTGTACTACAGAAAGAAAATGATGGGGTGGGGGAGTTACAGTCATATTCCTAACATCAATTTTCTTCCTTACATCCCCTGACACACACATACACACTTTTCTACCTGGTCTTGCACAACACCTCCACCCAGGTCCCAGTGTCATCTTTCATTTGGGGCTCTGCCCAAATGGGCCATTCCCAGCTACAGTCCCTTTCTCATTTCTTTAAGGTATTTTCTGAAATTTCCAGGGCACTTTGTTTAGAGCAAGGTCTGGTTGCTGGGTTACGAAACAATTGCATTTTTTCATCTGAAGGTGGGAGGTGGGCAGAGTGGCAGTCGGAGGTGGCAGTGCCTGCTTGCTCAATGTGGTGCTAGCTCCTTCTGAGCCTCAGATAGGCGCTCGCCTGGCAGCATCCCCCCACCAACCTCAGAGTGGGAGCCTTGTGCTCAAAATACAGCAGGGCTGAAATCACGGTTTGGCACTTCTGATTTGTTGCTTTTAATACACTGAACTGCCTTTTGACTGCTCTTCCCACTGGACCTACTTACAGCCTGCGTGTCAAAAAAAAAAATTGGCTGGCCTCCTTTTGACTGGAATTTAGCTTGAGCTACATATTGCTGCTGCAGAAAGTTCTCTAGCTTCTGCTCTATTTTAACATTTTATTCTGCTTCAGTTTGAGGGATGGGGTAGCTCAGACTACCCTTCCACTGGAAATTGTGCAATTTTATGTTAAAGGACCTGATCGCTTCTGTGGTATCCAGATTTGCCCATGAGTTTTATGTGTTGAGACTTTGGTTGACTCTTACACTGGACATAGTATCTGAGGTAGAGTTGGATAAGCATAAATGGATAACACTGGATGAGCCTAAATGTCTCACATCCTCACCAGCCTTAATATTTATCCAAACTGACCCAGTACCTGATGCTCCTGAAGGCCACAGGTCCATCTTCTTGATTTTGTCCTTTCAGTGCTACAGGGCTACGACTGGCTTTTGTGCTCTGGTTCTCATCCTCTACCTTCTTACTAGAACCAGTGTTGCACCAGAGGTTAGGAGAGGTGGTCCTAACAGTGGTGTGAGAGTCATGAAGGTTCACAAGGCCCCTTATGAGGGTACACATATCAGCCAGGAGCATGGTGTTATTTTCAGACTAGTTTCTTGATGAGTTTAGTAGGAGCTGTTTGTCTGGTCATGCTTGAATACTATAAAATTGGGGATGGGGTCACTTGTGCACCCACCTAATGCTATTGTTGTTTTGAGAAGTAGAATACAGAACTGCTTGAATTGAAATAATCAATATTTTTTTCTTGCTGACTAGAAATCTCAAGTATGTTTTCCTGTTTTTAATGTTGTAGGCAGAGAGACTTGAAGTTAAAAAAAGGCAACAAGAAATGCAAAGAAGAGAGATGTTCCTTGAAGATCAATATTAGTGAGTAAGATTTGAAACTTACTATTTAAATGACCTCATTTTCTTGTCCTTCTGGTTTTTGGGGGGTTGAGCTTTCTTGTTTGTTTGCTTGGTTGGACGGTTTTCTTTTGGCTGGTCTGGGGATTAGGAAGGGTTTGGCTTCTGTTGTTGTTCTCACTTTTTTTTTTTGACTTGATATATTCCAAGCCTCCTCCATATCTTATCCTGTGAGCTCTTTGGTTCAGTAGATTTCTCTTAGCTTCTCAAAGCATACACTTTGAAGCAAAAACTGTGAGTTATAGACTGACTTTGTGCTTTCTTTCTCTAACTGAATCAATATGTGATCATTCAATCCAAGACTAATTATCAAAGCAGTATCTAAATTACATCTCCACCCATTTATTTTAGTGAATAGTAAAGAAATCTAACCCACATGGAAAAAAAAATGAGGACTCTACATTCACTACAGTTCTACAGCTTAGATGTAGAGATCTGCAGTGAAGACCTGTTTCCCAATAATCTCTCTTTAATATCAGATTTAGATAGGGCTTAAGTCCTGACATAATTAATTCCATTGGCAATGAAGTTCCTGCCTTGCTAATTCATTCTACCCTATTTATTTATTTTTAACTGATCCAAACTAATTCTATCACATAATTAACACACAGTGCTGTTCAGTCACCTTTACCTTTTTTTATCTTTGACTCTTGAAATTACTCACCTGTGTTTCTAGCATGATTGATTGCTCTTTCTTCCTCTGTGACCTTTGGAGAAGTCAGTTTTGTCCCATGCTAGAAGCTCCACTTCCTTCATCATTTGCCCAGACTATGTTCTCTAATCTATAGACATTTTAGAGCTTTCTCACTGATCTCAGCCTTTCTTGACATTTTTCTTTTATTTCTTCCTGTTTAGCTTTAGGTACAGCTCTTTCCTAAAATATATTGCTAATGTTCATCTCTATGTATTGGCATTTTGCCTGCAGTTTGTCCTCTGCTTGTCCCAGCATGGATTTCCCCTCAGCATACCCTGATTCCTCAGGATTTCTGAAGACCCTGCACAATGTTTATATCTCTGCCTTTTGCTGAGAGATACATTCATGCTCTTTGAGACTACCCTGAGACAGCCTCATGAAATCTTTTCAGTACGGGGTCCTTAGTTATGGGACTTGCTTTTTTCCTGTGGGCATTGTGAGGGTCCTTATCTTCCTGTTTTTTTGTTTTGTTTTGTTTTGTTTTTGTGTTTGTTTTTTTTTTTTAATTCTGTTTTTTATTTTTTTTTGTCTTAAGTTTTATTTAGTCATGAATGGAGACACATCTCTCCTTTTCCCTCATCTCCTCATTTAATTTTTTTTCCCCTTAGGGTGAAAGGAATTCTGCTGGTTAGTGCTTTTTCTGTTAAAAGTAAGCTTGGTCATGTCAAAAGCAATCCCAAATGCTCTGGAACACCTTTATGTGGGCAGTCAGTCTGTCCCCAGGTGTAGCAGGGGCTCAGGCTGGCTGGGCACTGAGAGGAGACTGGCTGGCAGCCACTCTGTCCACTGATTTAAGAGAGCATTGTGAGTGTTCAGCTGGAGTCATCCCAGGAAACCAAACTGACTGACGTGACTGAAATTAAAGGTAGACTGTTGAGCTCCATTGCAGCAGAGATGTCTAGCTGTCAAAAGATTATTTGTATATACTGTTTATTAAACATATACCAGGAGAGTCCTGAAGGTACTGAAAGAGGTGTGCTGAAAGCCTACCTACAGTGAATGCAATTTTGGTTAACCAAAATATTTCATATTGTACAAAATAACATTACTGCCTTCCCTGGTACAATGAAATCCCCTGATGGGAAGAGGAAGGGAGGACTTGAGCAGTAATGGATTTACTACCAGAAGTTGAAGTCATTGGTAAGACACATTGGTGCTTCGGAGCACACCATCCCATGGTAATGGGAAGATGTTGTGTGACACTTCAGATCTTGCCAAGTAACTCCACTGATGCACTCCTATTTATTAGAAAAGTGCTTGGTATTTAAAGCAGTTGTGTGCTTTTGTGCACTATGCAAAAATGAGTGACTCATTACTTCCATCATCTAAGAGCCTGTGTTGAGTGGCAAAGAGAACAAATATGAGGTTGTGCCCCTTTCCTTACTGTCTGCGCTAGAATATTTTGATTTCCTTCCCTGCTCGGGAGAGGTCATGCACTGCATATAAAGCAGTGACCTCTGCAAAGCCATGTCTGCAGAGCCATTTCAAAAAATAAGCTGCCTTGTTAGTCTGTCTTCTGCAAGCATCTCTAGCTGCAACATCAGTGTTTTCCTGGGGAGATCAATGCCTACCAATGGTCTCATTAGCTGGGAAACCTTTTAAATTGATCACCACCATCAGCTGTATCTTTCTCCACAGGGTACAGCCCGATGAATACCTCTCTGGTATGAAATGCTGATTGTATTTGATATGGAAAGGCACATATGGTTCTCGTGTCATTAGCATGCTCTGCAAATAAAGCATAATACTGCCCAGAAGTTCCTTGCTCTGATTAAATTCCCGTCACTATTAAAAACATGAACTTCTCGGTGAAATCCCTTTTCAAAGGGTGTATACATGAAATAAGCAAATGCCAAAAAGAAAAATTGCCTGCTGCCTTGTCCCCTGCCTGCAGACTGCAGGTATTTCCTATCTCCTGAAACCTTTGCTAGTGTCTTTCTGTGGAGCTGGCCCTTGAAAGTCAACTGTATGTGTTATCGCAGTTGTTTAAGTGTTTTCTTGCAAGAATGAGGTTTAGGTATGCATGCAGAGTGTTGAGGAAAAGGCTGCGAGTCTTTTGAGGGAACAGCTGGATGAAGGCTCTATCTGAAAGTCCAGGCAACTGAACTGAGTAAAACTCACAAGGTATGTCCTAAAGTAGCTTTGTATAAAAAGTATAAAAAACAACATTCAGGAGCAGACTTTGGGCTAAAGGAATTGCTTCATGACAGGATTGCTGTGGTTGGTGCTAACACCTGAGGGATTTATTGGTGGTAGCATTGCTGTGGCTCTGCCTCTGCAGATACCAGATCTAGAGAATAAAGAGTATGTGCACGCTTCCCTACTGAAAGCTACTTATATGGGAAATGGAGCCCTTTCTTCTGAGTAATGGTGTCTTGGATGCATTTTACATTGATGGCCTGTGGTAGAGGCTGTATTTCTGTCAGATTGCATTAAAAGATAATAAATGTGTAGTCCATGCTTTGCAATTACCTAATCCTTGTGAGGAAAGGACTGAGTGTAATGTTACAAATCGGAATGAAGAAGAGGTTAGATGGTTGGCCCAGGACTTTTCAGAATGTTCCTCTTTAGTTAGGACACAAAATTTGTCATTTAAACAACATTAAGGGATGGACAGCTCGTGACTTGCTTTTCTCTGTGTCTTGCATGAATGCTCTGTGTAAGCTGTGTGCATCTGAGCCTGAACTGTAGGCTATCTTTCCACAAGGTTTTAGCCCAGCTCTCTGATAAGGTGCTTTCACTTAATTTGAATTTGACTTCCCAGAAACTGTAGCGTTGGATGTAGTCCACTGCATTTCTAATAGCCATCTACCAATTTATGTAATGGGAAAAGCAGTCTACACATAGGGTTTCTTTTTAATAGCACATGACGGCAGTGGTACAACTTCACCCTTGCCTTTATACATGCATGTCACTTTTTTTGTGAAGGTTGCACTCCTGTAAAAATTCCTGGCACTGTTGCACTCTGGTACATGCGTGTGCTTGATATATTCAGCTCAGAATTTGGAGCTGGAAACACAATTTGCCAGAGTGCCTCTGAGTGCATATTCCAAACACAGAACAGGAGCTTCACCAAACCAAGCTGATATACGCTTGCCTGCCAAAGCAGTTTTCTCAAAAGTCATAAAATGCAAGAAAATAAAACCTGAATCAAACCAGAATTTTTATTTATTTATCTATTTTTACAGGATAAATACTCACGTCCTTGCCAGTTTTCAGTCCTCTGTGATGTGTGGTTCAAACAGCAGGCTGGTAACAAATTTTCCCCACAGAAGTGCAAATGTAAACCTGACCAGACTTTCAATGTAGGTTGCTAAAGAGAGTGAGAGGGCTCACACAAAAAGGTTTTCAGCCTTGAGAATCTTTTGTTTGCTTCTTTTCACCACAATGGTCTTCATTTTGTTCATTTGCTCCTGATTATTTTAAGCGTTGTCAATTATTTAGCTAACAGGCAGAAAACTAGGCTTTTATAGACATCCAAAGGGACTCTCTTGAGTGTAATAATGAAGGCAGTTTATTGAACGCCTGTGAGGTTGCTTTCTAATTGTATGCATTAATCTGCCCATGCAAGCTGGCTGAAAATATAGAAGCAGATTGCACATGCAGATGGAGCACACAGAATGGTAGATCTATGCAATAGACTTATACAAAACTGCATTTTCCTTAAAACTGGATTTATGCTTATTGCTTCAGATAATAAATGAAACTTGATGTCTAAAATAACTTCCAAGATTATTGGATGAGTCGGTGGGAGGAAAAAATAGCTCAGTAGCATTATTTCATTCTGTCAGGAAAACAAAAAAAGGAAGTGGGTTGACACAAAAAATAGTTTTGTGTGTGAGTGGGAAGTGATGAAAATAATTCTGCTGAGAATGTTCCTATTTTTTATTACTATTTTTATACTTTCTTCAAGCCTTATACCTAAAATGAACAATTGCCACATTTTTTGTTCTTATTCCCTAGACCTCATGCTCAAAGACTTGCAGGCAAGAATGGCTACCAGCCAAGGATAGCACCATTTTGATCACTATTATTAGATTTGTGCAAGTCCTCCTTGGCATGCTTGTGCATTACTCCCAGTGAAGTCTGTGAATACTGCATGAAGCAAGTAAACTACATAACCAGAATATAGCTTTTCTTCCCAGGAAAGTGCATTGGGGAAGAGCCATTTACATTACACAGGAACTTAATGGGTTAGTTATTCAACTCTGTAGTCTTACATCTTATAAATTCCAGCAAAAGATGAATCTCCACGCACGTACTCACCAAA